AATCCTGTATTAGTCTCTGAATTCACTAACTATAATTCCTATAAATCAACTAAAACTCTTCACTTGAAAGAGAGACAATATATTTGTAGCTCTCCAATAAAAAGACAACAGCTTCTTCAACAACAATAAGAAGAAAACTGAATCAATAGGAGACGATTGTCTCAAAAAAGTTGAGTCCATCCAACTCTGGAGCAAATCTGGCCTNTCTGTATTCACTAACTATAATTCCTATAAATCAACTAAAACTCTTCACTTGAAAGAGAGACAATATATTTGTAGCTCTTCAATAAAAAGGCAACAGCTTCTTCGACAACAATAAGAAGAAAACTGAATCAATAGGAGACGATTGTCTCAAAAAAGTTGAGTCCATCCAACTCTGGAGCAAATCTGGCCTTCCCAGAACTCGCCTTTGATGAAGACGGACCACCCTCTTGCTTCTTCTCCATGTGGGAAGTTTTATTCACCCTTGTAGAATCCTTCGACTCCGACTGCATGTTGTTAACCTTCTTGGTTGCAGAAACAAAAGAGGCCCTCACTTTCTGCCCCAAGAATTCAGCAGAGAAAGCATCAAAGCTGCTGAACATCGAATTCATGGTTGCTAGAGAGAGAGAGACTCGATTTTGATTGAATATTCCTAAAACCGATTTTTCTTGTGTTTATGTTTTGATGCAGCTGTGATTTGTGATAGTCCAAGGACAAGAGAAGAAAGATATTTATATACACAGAGAGATAACGCCTGACGAAAAGAGGAATCCAGTTTCCTACAGGTTTAGGTAAACCGAAAGTTGGGTTCCAAGTTGCTTCGTGATTTGTCTGGAACTTACTTGACCTCCTCTTCGAAACGTGTTAGAAGACTTCTAATGGACCCCACTCGGTTTCCCAATTGGATGATCAATTTGAACAATACAAGTTGGCTACCGTCAATCTGGGATAGGTGGATGCCAGTCGCCTGACTTTGAAATGAAATTAAATTCCACTATCAACGGCCACCCTTCAACGCTCGGTCTACCTTCGCCTACTTTTAGGGAGCCCACACGCCGGTGGGGATGGCCCTTCAAACATAAATTAATATTCCATTTTGTCATTAATTTATCACGCCACCACTTGGAAGAAATTTCAAACAAAGTGACTAGAATTAAATCCTTTACGACCAAGTTTGATATTTCGGGAATCTTCCATTAACAATTTCCAAGATGTTGGCTTCAGCAATTGGTTCAAAACATTTTTTGGCAACTGGCAAGTTGATTGCTGTAAATTCAAACTTCCAAATTAAATGAAAGATATTGACTGGTATTGGATAAGTAAATGACCTGGTCATGCATACATAATTCACAATGTCTATCTCGAAAAACTTTTACATATCCTTTTTACATTACTTTAAATAAAAGAAAAAGAAATGAATTGACCCTTATAGAATTGATGAACGTAAGAGCATAAATCAATCAATCAATCTTTGGCAGAAAGTACGAAGCTAAAAGCAGATTCAACGAAGAACGAGCGTTTCATAGAATCCCAATCCATCTAAGTTGGGTGCGAAAGCTAAAGCAACATGCGGGGGTGTCCCTTGCAGCGACTTGGGCGAGGTGTTGCTGCTGGTCTTGTTCATCGGCTCTTGCAATTTCGTTGAGTTGGAAAAAGCAGCTGCCTCTGGTTTGTCATCATTTATGGTCGTCCTCTTGATGCGTGGAAGAGGCAAACCAAATTCATCACCAAAGTAGTCGCTACAGATTGCACTAATTGATGAACCAAATACAGACATTCTCCCTTTCTCAAAATTCTCCACCTTGAGTGGATGATTATGCGTTAATGAGTCTGAAAATTAAAGGGATTTGGTCTTGTAATTGGAAACTTTTCTTTCTCTCGAAGTTGACTCCCTATTTGAGGTTGAATTAATTGGATTCCGAATTTCTAGTGCTAACTGTTTCCTCCCAGCACTTGGAATGTTTCCCAATAAGTAAACCGTATACCAGAAAGAAAACGATTTGACCACCAATTTACAATTACCTAAATCCAAATTTAGACGATTAATTAAAGTGGATTAATACAACCCATAAAACAAATGCACAGTGAATTATAACTCCCTTGAAATGGTCCATGGAAATAATGCACAGATGAAGATTAGATGAGGTGAATTATCACTAACAGGACTTGCACGTTTTGCGGTGCAAATTAAAGGTTCTATTTTTATATTAAAAGAATTAAACTTCTTTTTGTCTATTTTTATATTAAAAGAATTAAACTTCTTTTTGACTATTTTCATATTAAAAGAATTAAACTTCTTTTTTACAATAGTACGCAACTTTGAGTAATACTATACTTATAATACAATTTCAAAAACTTTCCTTTACAATCCTGACATGATAGTTCATAGTTGATAATTCATAATAGGTATCGTCTGTCAAACAATGAATCTCATCTACCCAATTGTGAGCTGACCAATTATGAGATTGGATTATAAACTAATCTTTATTGTGCAACTTTTTACAATCTTTTTCACATTATTTTGATTTTTGGTGCTTGTAAATACAGTATTATGTATTTCTTTAAACATGTAAAATGCGAAAGATATAAAACATACCATGAGTTTAAACTAGCATGACTCTGTTTAAGCTCATGTCTCATTCATTCATCCATATCACTTCTTTATTTGCATATTGTTTCACTTACTGTCTCCTGCAAAAGTAATGTGATCAATTTTGTACATTTTTCATGATATAATTTGCATGAAATGTTGAAGCTTAATAAAAGCATAATATTTTTTGTAATTCTTATTAATGTGGGGACTTTCCCAAAGAATATGATAAAATTTATTAGTAGACAATTTTTTCCCACCTAAATAATGGTCTAATGACACTTTTTCACCCAAAAAGTTTCAAAATACAACTTTACTACTCAAAACACAATTCTGTTAATAAATTTCATTGTGTAAAAAGGACAGGATAGTCAAAAGTTCATTATAAATAAGAGCAGGATAATCAATTAACATTATGTGTCACCAAAGAATCAACTCTCAAGTTTTGATTTTTGGCCAATTTTGGTCGAAAATGTGCCGGTTTCCCGTGACCCATGACCTTCGTTTTTAGGCTATTTTCGGCTTGAATCTAACGTCATTGAGCCCTCCCACCACCACCAAATACTCCTCATCACTCCCTCACCAAAACCTCTCCCACTCTCGTTCGTCTAACCTCTCCATTCGTCGGCCACCATACACGATTAGTTCACGTGACTCTTGCCCTTTCTGGCCACTTTCGAGATCGAAAATCCCTATTAAGACCACCAATCAACTCACTGACCTCCCATCCCCAAAACCCCTAACCTTCTCGATGCCAACTGCACATAGTTCGGCGCTTTCCACTACCTAGAGTTTTGCAAATTTGAAGACTTGGGGTTGGAATTAATTAAGTGGGGAGAGTAGCCAAAAAATCTGTAGTCAACCAATAAACCCACAAACACTTCCAATAACCCAACCTCATGTAAAAAATAACTCCAAATCAATCTCCAATCAAACCCAAATTCAACAAACAAGCAAAACCCTAAGAGAGTGGTAGATGACAAATGGCAAGTAAACGAGGTTGAGGGTGTTGAGTAGGGGTGTTCAAAAGAACTGATTGGAACTGGAACCGACGGGTACCCAGGGTTTGGTTCCGGTTCCTACCTGGAACCGGCCATCAACGGGTAGGTTCCGATTCCAAATTTTTGGAATCGTTATTGTACGATTTCGGTTCTTATAATTAGGAACCAGAATCGGAAACTGAGACTAATATAAAATAAAATTAAAGAGTAGGGGGTTAATAAAAACTTTTGTAGAAAAAGTAACGTGAATACATTTATATTTATATTTCATAACATTTAAAGTAAGTTAGTTTGACTTTTGAGAATCTATCTTTACAAAGTAATAGAGTTTGTAATTTTGAATTTATAATTTGTAATTTTATTTTTGTTAACAAGTTCTAGGTGGGGCGGTATCTGTAAGTTTTTAAGGATTTTTTTTACCATTTTAAAAATTTTTGGGGGGTCATTGTAATTTTATAGGGTACCAGAACCGGAACTGGAACTGTTGTTACAGGTTCTGGTTCTGGGTACCTAGGAACCGGCTGGTTCCGATTTCAGTTCCAAATTTCAAGGAAATGTCGGTTCTGGTTCCTTCACAAAATGCAGGGTACCTAGAATCGAACACCCATAGTGTTGAGGGTTTTGTACGGCGAATGTTGGTGGTGTAGTTGATGTCGGGATCGACCGAAAATAAGTTGGAAAAGGTATAGCAATGGCATGAAACCGTAGAGGTTGGTAGCGGTGATTGGTGGTGCAAACGGGTGGGGGTGATGGGGATTTTGTTGTGTGGGTTGAGTGGAGGTAGTATTGGTGGTGGTGGTGGAGTAGGAGGAGGAGGAGGGGGAGGTGAAGTTGATGGTGATTTTGGCCACAATAGAGGTTAAGAAGAGAAGAGAAGAGAAAAGAAGAAAAAGATATAAGAGTATTTTTGTTTTCACAATGAATATCATTATATTTAGTAAAAATTATTAATAGAATATAACGTTTAGATAATAAAATTATATTTTGAAACTTTTTAGCTAAAAAAGTATCATTAAACCATTATTTGGGAGAAAAAAATTCGTTTACCCTAAAATTAATTCATTGAAAATCGCATTTTACGAACATACACGTAAACAGACTAAAACGGCGTCGAGTTTAGACAATTCCAAAGCAGCCTTAACCTACTTCTGTTCCCACCTTATTAATCTACAAACCGTCACCCAACTTTAACACTCAACCGCTCATAACCTTTTTTAAAACGTGGCAATTACTAATTGGACACTAGATCCAGTACTTGCAGATGCCGTTTATTATTATTATTGCGTATATATATTTATTTACAAGGCTACTAAAGCAGAGGGAAAGATAATTAAAAAGCTCTTCACTTCGAAACCAGCATCGGTCGAGATCCGGCGATTTTCGTCGGATTTCGCCCATTATTTCGTTCTGACGTTTCATTAAATAAGATGAAGGGACCCAGCACTCTGGTTGCTTCGGTGGTGGCTGCGTCTACCATGGCTCTGACATCGTCCTCCTCTGCCAGAGAGGGTGACATGAGCAAGGTGCTTTTCGTATTTCTCGTTTTGGTTGTTTATAGATCTGATTTCTCAAAACATTGTTTTTCAATCTCGTTATTCTTTTTTATTTTGCACATTCAAATTTCATCCTTTTTTTAATATTTGCTTCCGAACAATATGGAGAAACATTATATAATACATTTATTCTTTGGTTCATCGTATTTGGATCTGCTATTAAATCTTTTAGAATTATGGTGAATTTATCAGGGATTTTCTTCATCTGAGAGAAATAGTCCGCCGAGTAGCTGTACATCGTCAGAAAAGGAGAAATTCGCGCCAAGATTTGACGGGTTGAGGTTCATAGAGACATTGGTAACTGCCCACAGATGAAAACCACAATTGAAGAGCCCCCGTCCTTGTTTTGTTGATAAACCTGTGGTTTGTAGTCTTAATTCCTAATTTTTTAGTTAAGAAAGAGTTATTGTAAGAGTCATTTTCGTACTTGCGGCCGGGTGGAGGGGGTTTAGGTTTGATTGATGATGAGATCAACTCCAAAGCGTGAGGGTAACAATTTATTTTGTCATTGTACGCTTTTGTTGTTTTGGATTTTAATGGCTTGTCATCTTTACTTAATTTTTGGTTGAAGTTTTCTGTTAGCTGTCACCACTAGATACTTGGAAATAACGCATACATTCTGTTTGTTAAAAGGATGGTCCATATAAGATAAGCTGTTTGAGTAAATGTTCAATTCATATAAACGTTTTCTATAATATTCCTGATTGCTGGCAGAGGGTTGGGTTGGGTTGGGTTGGGTTGGGTTTACTCATTCTTTATTTATGTGCCAAAACTCTCAAACGCTGTGATTCTACAATTTATATGTAATTTCTTGTTTGCCGTTAAATTGGAAAAAGAGAATCTGTCATCTATGATTTATATAACAAATATAATTAGAGAAACACCTAATCTTTTCTGAGCTGGAAATAGTATACATANCCCAGGGTTTGGTTCCGGTTCCTACCTGGAACCGGCCATCAACGGGTAGGTTCCGATTCCAAATTTTTGGAATCGTTATTGTACGATTTCGGTTCTTATAATTAGGAACCAGAATCGGAAACTGAGACTAATATAAAATAAAATTAAAGAGTAGGGGGTTAATAAAAACTTTTGTAGAAAAAGTAACGTGAATACATTTATATTTATATTTCATAACATTTAAAGTAAGTTAGTTTGACTTTTGAGAATCTATCTTTACAAAGTAATAGAGTTTGTAATTTTGAATTTATAATTTGTAATTTTATTTTTGTTAACAAGTTCTAGGTGGGGCGGTATCTGTAAGTTTTTAAGGATTTTTTTTACCATTTTAAAAATTTTTGGGGGGTCATTGTAATTTTATAGGGTACCAGAACCGGAACTGGAACTGTTGTTACAGGTTCTGGTTCTGGGTACCTAGGAACCGGCTGGTTCCGATTTCAGTTCCAAATTTCAAGGAAATGTCGGTTCTGGTTCCTTCACAAAATGCAGGGTACCTAGAATCGAACACCCATAGTGTTGAGGGTTTTGTACGGCGAATGTTGGTGGTGTAGTTGATGTCGGGATCGACCGAAAATAAGTTGGAAAAGGTATAGCAATAGCATGAAACCATAGACGTTGGTAGCAGTGATTGGTGGTGCGAACGGGTGGGGGTGATGGGGATTTTGTTGTGTGGGTTGAGTGGAGGTAGTATTGGTGGTGGTGGTGGAGTAGGAGGAGGAGGAGGGGGAGGTGAAGTTGATGGTGATTTTGGCCACAATAGAGGTTAAGAAGAGAAGAGAAGAGAAAAGAAGAAAAAGATATAAGAGTATTTTTGTTTTCACAATGAATATCATTATATTTAGTAAAAATTATTAATAGAATATAACGTTTAGATAATAAAATTATATTTTGAAACTTTTTAGCTAAAAAAGTATCATTAAACCATTATTTGGGAGAAAAAAATTCGTTTACCCTAAAATTAATTCATTGAAAATCGCATTTTACGAACATACACGTAAACAGACTAAAACGGCGTCGAGTTTACACAATTCCAAAGCAGCCTTAACCTACTTCTGTTCCCACCTTATTAATCTACAAACCGTCACCCAACTTTAACACTCAACCGCTCATAACCTTTTTTAAAACGTGGCAATTACTCATTGGACACTAGATCCAGTACTTGCAGATGCCGTTTATTATTATTATTGCGTATATATATTTATTTACAAGGCTACTAAAGCAGAGGGAAAGATAATTAAAAAGCTCTTCACTTCGAAACCAGTATCGGTCGAGATCCGGCGATATACGTCGGATTTCGCCCATTATTTCGTTCTGACGTTTCATTAAATAAGATGAAGGGACCCAGTACTCTGGTTGCTTCGGTGGTGGCTGCGTCCACCATGGCTCTGTCATCGTCCTCCTCTGCCAGAGAGGGTGACATGAGCAAGGTGCTTTTCGTATTTCTCGTTTGGTTGTTTGTAGATCTGATTTCTCAAGACATTGTCTTTCAATCTCGTTATTCTTTTTTATTTTGCACATTCAAATTTCATCCTTTTTTTAGTATTTGCTTCCGAACAATATGGAGAAACATTATATAATACATTTATTCTTTGGTTCATCGTATTTGGATCTGCTATTAAATCTTTTAGAATTATGGTGAATTTACCAGGGATTTTCTTCATCTGAGAGAAATAGTCCGCCGAGTAGCTGTACATCGTCAGAAAAGGAGAAATTCGCGCCAAGATTTGACGGGTTGAGGTTCATAGAGACATTGGTAACTGCCCACAGATGAAAACCACAATTGAAGAGCCCCCGTCCTTGTTTTGTTGATAAATCCTGTGGTTTGTAGTCTTAATTCCTAATATCTTAGTTAAGAAAGAGTTATTGTAAGAGTCATTTTCGTACTTGCGGCCGGGTGGAGGGGGTTTAGGTTTGATTGATGATGAGATCAACTCCAAAGCGTGAGGGTAACAATTTATTTTGTCATTGTACTCTTTTGTTGTTTTGGATTTTAATGGCGTGTCATCTTTACTTAATTTGTGGTTGAAGTTTTCGGTTAGCTGTCACCATTAGATACTTGGAAATAACGCGTGCATTCTGTTTGTTAAAAGGATGGTCCATATGAGATAAGCTGTTTGATTAAATGTTCAATTCATATAAACGTTTTCTATAATATTCCTAATTGCTGGCAGAGGGTTGGGTTGGGTTGGGTTTACTCATTCTTTATTTATGTGCCAAAACTCTCAAACGCTGTGATTCTACAATTTATATGTAATTTCTTGTTTGCCGTTAAATTGGAAAAAGAGAATCTGCCATCTATGATTTATATAACAAATATAATTAGAGAAACACCTAATCTTTTCTGAGCTGGAAATAGTATACATAATGGGCATCTTTAACTTCAATAAAATAATGGTATAACACCTGTTAAGCAAAGGGCAAATTAAAACTGAAGTAGAAAATCTTGTGTAAAGTGATGGCGCATCTTGAATCTAACCCATTAATGGAAGTATGAATGTCGAATTTCATGGGGGGCTTTGAGGTGATGCGGGGTTCCTCGTGTCACCAGCCTAGAGTTTCAACGCAACGGAATGGTCCATGCGGCACCCAACATAACATCACACTTGAGAAGGGTAAGCTTACATGTATGTCATTCATTGGTTTGAGGTCTACTGATTTTGTCATGTCATTAACTAATTAGGGAAGCGGCTCCAACTCCTGACCAGTTTGTGCAGGGATGACATAATCCCTTCTTTATCGTCGACTATGAAGAACAACTCCTAATAGCTTTTGCAACCCCTCATGTTATGGAGCATCTCTCTTCTTAAGAGTCTTATAAATCATTACCAATATGTTAGGAGAGAACACACTTAACGTCACGTGAATGCTTCGTGAAACCCCTCAATCTCGTACATTTTCTATAATTGTTACTCTTGTCACGATGTTGCGGAATAACGTCATGAGACTTAGAAGCTGTCAGGGAAATATTTCAGTCAACAACTCTTTTCATATTATTTTTGAACAAACAAATCCTTGGCCACAATCACAAAAAATAATAATAATAATAATAATTATATATGATTTTCCATTACACGTACAGCTTACGGTTCTCAGCTCTGATATTTTTCAAACTCCAGATGAGAACGAGTGGCTACCTACAAATGAAATTTAAAAGCTTGTTAAAATGCACGTGAATCACGGGTGCACCCCACATCAAAAAAATTTCACCCCAACGCAAATTGACTGAATGTTAGGAGAATCGTAATCGTATCAACCCCTCGGCTTGGAGGAGTGTAAGAGAGTGCATTTGCACCGTTCAATATTCATTGTCACGAGAAGCTCCATGTCGGTGGTTACTCATAGTAACGAAAATGGAAGTACAAGAGAATTACTTATTTTTGGATGATATAACAGTGAAATTACAAAGTTTTAATTGTCCCTATAATATAAGTTATAGTATCATATAATCTATCAGAATGGTTGATATATAAGCTCTGTATCACTACTATAAATATCATGAATAATTTTAATTTGAGGGGACGTCTGTTGTTGATGTGATACTAACAGTGCTAATACTAAAGAACCCGTTGAAGTCCCATCAGTGTTGAAGATTAATCCTAGGGTTCATGATTGCGGTGCCGTTCTGTCACCACTTGATTGTTATTAGGTGAAAAAAATCTTAAAACAAGTGGGGTTTCTCTTCAATTAACGTCTCTAAATCCATCATATTATTATTGATGGGGATGCAAACAGTGCTAATACCAAAGAACCACCGTCGAAGTCCCCATCTATGTTGAAAATTAATCCCAGGATTAGCGATTGCGGTGTCGTTTTGTCACCACTTGATTGTTATTTGGTGGAAAAAAAATCTTAAAATAAATCATATTCACAGATCCCCAGGCCATTCACTTGGGATTTAACCCTGCGTGGCAAATCTTTAGGCGCCTAGGTAAAGAGACCCAGTTCAACCATTCTTATAAGGCCAAGTGTATGTCACATTCATCTAAGCGATCACTACAAATAATGCGTGACATCTTAACACTTGAACTTAAGTCAAGTCATTAACACTTGAAGTGGTTCCTGGCGGGTGAGTAAGTACTGAGGAGAGATTTTCTGAATTTGTTAAGATATAATCAAATCTAAAAATGAGTCAGAGATATCTTCTGTTTGTTTTCTAACAGTTAAAAGTAAATGATTATAAATACATAGGCTGTTGCTATAGTGTATAATTCATTCATCATTTTCACTGGTTAGTGATTTCAAATTTATGTTCTCTTCATTCCATGTATTAATCGTCTCTGCAAGTTCAATTTTTTTTGGTTAACTAGTTTTATTTAGTAATGATTTACAGGAATTTTATTGCGGCTTGAATCAGGTTATTGAGTGCTGAGGCTTTTTCCACAGATCGAGTGTAGTAGAGATGGCAACTGTCACTGCCTCACAGTTTGTACCCGGAAGTACTCAACTTTATGGAACATCTGGGGCTGCAGTTGAAGCCAATTTGGTACGGATGGGCTTGAGGAATCAATCTATGACTCACAATGGCTTAAGATCATTGAACGTGGTGGATAGACTACAAATGAAAATCACTTCCAAAGCAATGCGTAATAAAGCTGTGAAGAAAGTGCGATCAACAGCAAGTGACATTCCCTCAGGAAAAATTGTATGTGGACAAGGGATGAGAATAGTAGTTGTGTCGGCTGAGGTTGGTCCATGGAGTAAAACCGGTGGCCTTGGTGATGTCACAGGAGGACTTCCACCTGCGCAGGCGGTTAGTAATTATATCTTGTTTCGTCTCGTTCTCTGTAATGCAACTTTTCAGCTCCATGGATTATAAATCTTTTCTGATGTTAATGCCTGATTATTTTTAGGCTAATGGGCATCGTGTTATGACTGTGTCTCCCCGATACGACCAGTACAAAGATGCATGGGATACGAATGTTTTAGTTCAGGTAAATTCTCAATCTCTAGAAATGACCTTTTCTCACTCGGTAGTTTGTATCCTGGTCAATTGAATGCTGCTTCTGGCTTTTTTCCTCAAGTAATTTCCTTGCTTCTTGCAGGTTAAAGTTGGGGATAGAATTGAAACTGTTCGATTCTTCCACTGCCACAAACGAGGAGTTGATCGTGTCTTTGTTGATCATCCAATGTTCCTTGAGAAGGTTTGATACTTAATTTTCTTGATGTTTAAAGATGTTTTGATATTTATAGGACTAAAACGTTCTATTAGTCCTGAATTTTTACCTTTCTGAATACAACAGGTTTGGGGAAAAACTGGAGCCAAAATATATGGCCCAAGGGCAGGACAGGATTACAAGGACAACCAACTTCGATTTAGCTTATTATGCCAGGCAAGTGATCCTATTTTCTCAATTGTCCACTTTTTTCAATGGTCATCCTTTTGATTAAAAATCAATGGAAGTAGCTAAGCTGGCTTGTTATGGCCATGTCATATCCGGGGAACTGATGAAAATGAATATGCACTTCTGTTTGTGTCTAATTTTTTGGGTCAATCCTAGCTCTTCACATATTGTGATTTGTGAATATACAACTCAAATTCAATGTTTGTTCCTTTCAGGCTGCTCTAGAGGCTCCCAGGGTTCTGAACTTAAACAACAGTGAACATTTCTCAGGACCATATGGTAAAAAATCTCTTAGGTGAATTTATATTTCCTTTCCGGAAGCTATATGGTCATTTGCTACCTTCTTGCAGGGGAGGATGTTGTCTTCGTTTGCAATGATTGGCACACTGCTCTGCTTCCATGCTACCTGAAATCCATGTACCAATCAAGAGGCATTTACAAAAATGCTAAGGTAATAATTTGACCTTAGCATTTGGGGTTAATCTATTCGACTTCTGGGATTAATGCCATTGTTCGGTGAATTAATATTATGCTTGTTTATGATGGCAGGTTGCTTTTTGCATCCACAACATAGCCTATCAAGGCAGGTTCGCTATAGCAGATTTCTCTCTGCTCAATTTACCTGATCAATTCAGGGGATCTTTTGACTTTATTGATGGGTATGCTTTCTAGAGCAATTTAATTTTCCATAATATAGAAAGGTCTCCATTTAATATAACTTTTGTCTGTTGTTACACTGGCCATGCATTAAAGGGATTTCTTTTGGCAGTTATAACACGCCTGTGAAGGGAAGAAAGATCAATTGGATGAAGGCTGGAATATTAGAATCAGACAGGGTCGTGACTGTGAGCCCCCACTATGCTAAGGAACTTGTTTCTGGGGAGGATAAAGGTGTTGAATTGGATAATATTATTCGTAAAACGGGCATCACCGGCATTGTGAATGGCATGGATATTCAAGAGTGGAACCCTGCAACAGACAAATACATCGATGTCAAATATGATGCCACCACTGTAAGTGCCTTTGAAAAGATTTTACTTCCCACATATATGTCAGTGGCATGAAGAAGTTTACTCATTGAAATTTTTATTTTCAGGTTATGGAAGCAAAGCCTTTATTGAAAGAAGCCCTTCAAGCAGAAGTTGGGCTGCCTGTTGACAAGAATATCCCGGTGATAGGTTTCATTGGAAGACTAGAAGAGCAAAAGGGTTCAGATATTCTGGTTGCAGCTATTTCAAAATTCATTGGAGAGAATGTTCAGATAGTGGTCCTTGTAAGTTCCAAAAAAGAATAAATTTTTGTTTCTTCTGCAGCACATAAATTAGAATTAAATTTTATGATGTCTTCATTATCTCAGGGAACTGGGAAGAAGCACATGGAGAAACAGATTGAACAGCTTGAAATAAAGTATCCTGATAAGGCTGTAGGAGTGGCAAAGTTCAATGCTCCCTTGGCCCATAAGATTATTGCTGGGGCTGATTATATGTTGATCACTAGCAGATTTGAGCCATGTGGTCTCATTCAGTTGCAAGCCCAGCGATATGGAACAGTAAGCCTCCTTAGATTCCTCTTTGCAACCAAAATTTTATTCACTTTTCGAGGCAGTAGGTCAATTAATCAGTAATTCTTCCACAGGTCCCCATTGTTTCCTCCACTGGTGGACTTGTTGACACTGTCAAAGAAGGTTTCACTGGATTCCATATGGGAAGCTTCAATGTTGACGTAAGTGATTGACTATTACTGAAACTGTAACACACAACTTCCTATTTGTTCTACCTTTACTGATAGATGATGGATTGTGTTTGTCCCCTCGGAATACTTCCAGTGTGAGAAATTGGATCCAGCTGATGTTGATGCAGTAGCAACAACAGTGAAGAGAGTTCTTACAGCATATGGTACCCCTGCCTTCAAGGAAATGATCAAGAATTGCATGGCCAAAGATCTTTCATGGAAGGTTAGTATATTACTGAGTTGAAAGCGAGTAATATCTTAAAAGTAAATGACAATTATTTCTTGGGTTGAAATAAAAAATGGTTCTTGGTTTTAATACAGGGACCAGCCAAACTGTGGGAAAAGATGTTACTGAGTTTGGAGGTTGCTGGCAGTGAAGCAGGTTCTGAAGAGGAGGAGATTGGTCCTCTTGGCAAGGAAAATTTAGCCACTCCCTAAGCACCCCGTTTAAAATTATGTGCAAGTAAGCTAATGCGTGATGCGGCTAGGTAGAATTAACTCATTAAGCTTAAGTATCTCTTGTTTTTTGGGACTTCATCGGGCTATGCTAAATAAGTAATAACTGTCACGCCCTCTTTCAAGTTGATGACATACGTGGTGGAAACTTAAGAGCTGGTGTGCAATGCAAGGGAAGTATATTTTTGGAGGTGAATGGTGTTTGAACTTTGAAGCGCTAAGTTTTCTAATTTATTTGCTTCCCCTTTCTTTTTCCCTGATTTTATGTCCGCCATGGTTGTCAGCTTTCCATACTTTTTATGCCCTCAAATTACAATGTGGAAAAACTGGAAAGACCCCAGTAGCTGGACTCCAAAATAGAGATTCAATCATTGTCCGGGAAGTATTAAAAATGAGAAAAACTAATTTTATACTAAACTAAAAGGACATGGGGTTGGCCTAATGGTCAACGGCGCGTGTTCCATTCCTTGATTTTCTGGATTTAAACTTTGGGATCATCTATTTTAATGCATAATTATAATTTATCTGGTTTATTGGGGTTGTAAGACATTCAATGGATTTTAATGGTTAATTAAAGTATATAAATTAGTTTAAATACTTTGATTATAAAAAAAAAAAAAAATTTATTAAATCATTAAACATGTGATCAGATAGTAAGATAGATTTTAACCATCTAAATAGGTTATACAAAGATCTTACGCTCAAGTACCATACAGTGATAAGTTATCATATTTATAACTTAGGGAGAACGACTTATACATACCCAACGTTTGTCGAAACGATAAGTTGGTACCCAAAAGGTTTTGAAACGATAAATGGGTACCTTCCGTCATGTTTTGTTAGTGATATTCGTTAGATAATAGTGAAAAGATTAAAATGTCCTTGAAAGTTTAATTTTTAGTTTTTTATAAATTTAAAAATTTCTAAAAAACCCCATAGGTTTGCTAATTTGACTAACTATCCTAATATATAAAAATTTTATAAAATAGCAAATACACCCCCGCCACCCACAGTGCCAGATTCCGGCCACCACCGCCGGAATCTGGCCGGAAAATTGTGTTACGACACAGACTCGTCGGATCTGTGTCGTAACACACCGATCTGGCGTTTTCCGGCAAGATCCGTGGATGATCGGGCCGGAAAAGGCCAGATTTATGTCTGACCTTTTTCGGCCTCGACGGCCAGATCTAGCCGTAGATCTGGTCTTTTTCGGCTAGATCAGCCACGGATCTTGCTGGAAAATGAAAGATCTACGAGTTACGACACAGATCCGATGAGTCTGTGTCGTAATGCGATTTTCCGGCCAGATTCCGGCGGCGGTGGCCGGAATCTGGCACTGCAAGTGGCAGGGGTGTTTTTGTTATTTTATCAAATTTTTATATATTGGGGTGTTTAGTAAATTAGCAAACCTAGGGGGTTTTTTAGAAAATTTTAAATTTATAAAAAACTAAAAATTAAACTTTTAAGGGTATTTTAGTTTTTTCACTATTATCTAACGAAAATCACTAACAGAACATGGCGGAAGGTACCTATTTATCGTTTTAAAACCTTTTAGGTACCAACTTATCGTTTCAATAAATCTTAGGTATGCATAAGTTGTTCGGCCTTATAACTTATTTGGACGGGTCAACAAAGATAACATCCTATCCCAACATCCATCATTTAATGCAAGTATTTAAACATTATGTATTCTTTTTCCTTTGTGCTGTACTAATTTAAATCCTTAATTACAACACTGTGCTCCGTCCTTGCAAAACATTAACTTGTCTTGCCCAATTTAGTACATCAGAACTGTGGATTAATTGAAGAGACAGAAAATCTTACGTAGTCAGTCAAAGGTAACGTTACTCCGAATATGTATCATTAGGTGTGAACGTGTTTGATTGATGAATCACTCATTTATTAAAAAGTAACGGCGGAGATCACTTCATCAAATAGGTTAGGTATATTTCGCTTTGCTTCATAAGAATGCCATTGCCACGTGTGTTGTGCTGTTCGTTCTGTCGTTTTGTTCCGAAATCGTTATTATAAATAATAATAGAAAGAATGGTAACCATGTGAAGGTTGTCGTCCGGGGCCCATTCCCACAAAGCAAAACATCCGACGATCCTCAAAAGATCAATCCAATCACGCTCCTTACAATACCTTCACGGCTTCACATATTAACGCCGCCTTTTAACGCTACATATAAAATAAAAACTGTCCTACTTTATGCTATCGTACGCCGAGTGCACAGTTCACACTCAACTACAGGAAACAAGAGGCTACTACTACAATTACTAGCAGTGGCCAGTGGCAGTAAGTACAATCCAACCCATCTTTCTCGCAGCTATTGCTTTCAGAAATTGCGTGTCCAGTCCACTATTGTGTCCAGTTGTGAGAATTAAAGTGAGTTCACGTTAACACTCTTCACACTATCACACATACACAGACTGCGTCACCCGTTGTCAAACTCAAAAAGCTTGCTTTCAATTCCCATTTTGGCATTCTCACTTGTACTTCATCTCTTTACCACCTCCCAATTGCTTACCAGCAAGATAAGAGATCTATGGAGTTCAGTAGACTCCACTACTTTACCTCTCTGGTTTTACTCTTCATTTCAGGTACGTACACACACACACCCTCTGATTAATTATTGAATTTGGTGATGAATTAATGAATTGGATACTAATTTTTTTATTTGTGTGAGCAGGATTTGTGCTTAGTGTGAGCTCAGTTGGGATCAACTATGGCCAAATTGCTAATAATCTTCCAACCCCAGAGAATGTAATACCACTAGTGAAATCAATTGGTGCTACTAAAGTGAAGCTGTACGATGCAGATCCGAAAGTTCTTAAGGCATTTGCAAACACTGGAGTGGAGTTCATTGTTTGTTTGGGCAATGAGTACTTATCCAAAATGAAAGATCCAGATAAAGCTGCAGCATGGGTCAAACAAAACGTTCAAGCTTATTTACCAGCTACAAAAATCACTTGCATCACAGTAGGCAACGAAATCTTAACATTTAACGACACTTCACTATCTGGGAGTTTACTTCCTGCCATGGAAAGTGTCCACACTGCATTAGTTAATCTAGGACTAGATAAGCAAGTCACTGTCACTACTGCACATTCTTTAGCGGTTCTTGAAACCTCTTACCCACCTTCGGCCGGAGCCTTTCGTAAAGATCTGGTTAATTCTATTACTCCAATCTTGGATTTTCATTCTAAAACTGGATCTCCGTTCTTGATTAACGCTTACCCTTATTTTGCGTACAAAGGAAATCCAAAGCAAGTACCTTTAGATTTTGTATTATTTCAGCCAAACCAAGGAATACTTGATCCCTCATCCAATCTTCATTATGAAAACATGTTATTTGCACAGATTGATGCAGTTTATTCAGCACTTGGTACTGTGGGTTACAAGAAACTTGCGGTTCACATATCGGAAACTGGGTGGCCATCTAAAGGAGATGGAGACGAAGCAGGGGCAACACCAGATAATGCAAAGAAGTATAATGGGAATCTAATTAAGTTGATTTCGTCAAAGAAAGGGACACCCATGAAGCCCAATTGTGATTTGAATATTTATGTATTTGCTTTGTTTAATGAAAATATGAAGCCTGGACCCACTTCCGAGAGAAATTACGGTCTGTTTAAGCCTGATGGAACGCCTGTTTATGCGCTAGGGATTAATTCGAGTACCAACACTACTGTTTCCTTGCCCTCTCCACCTGCCAGCCCCGTTGGTCCTGCCATGCCCGACGGTTCTACCTCTTCCAATGGTTATTTGTCTATTTCTTCAGCTCCGGTCAGTTGTTTAATTTTTCAGCTTTACTAGTTTTTCATATTGATTTATTATTGGTGTTCATATCTGCCAGACGTTTCTTTTTTGTGGGTAGATATTTTCTTTTGATTGATTGTGTTTTGGTTCACTTGATTGCAGGAGAGAAAAGTTGATTACGGCGGTGTTGGAGCTTTTATGATTACGTTAGTTATGATAATCAATAATGTGGGGCTCTAGAATTCAGAAAGGGATTGAACGTTACGCTAATTAAAATCAACCGTTAAAGCAGAGAGGGGAATAAAGATGCAGCAGTTTGGAGTAGGGGAAAGGTGAAATTCTAAATTCTGTGCCTTTGCTCATACGCGACTAAATGTTTCTTGGAATCATCATCTTTTAATTGACCCTAGATAAAGTGGGTTATCAAACGAATAAATTCTCTAGTGGATCCTATGTTAAATGATCATGTTGTGGCGTAGGGTCGGTTTGGAGTTGATAGCCATAATTGTTTTTTTCTTACTTTTTGCTCTTTTTAGTTGGCAGTTGGCACCGAACCCTAACTTTTTTCTTCTTTTGCAGGGATATTTCAATATCTAATATTATGTTAGGTTTGGTTCTGATTGGTAAATGGACCGCATTTGTTATTTTAGTTTAGAATTAGATAAAAATCTATTATAGCTATTCATTTGCTTGTGTTGTACCTTGTTATGAACCGGATGTAGTATTATTATTATTATTATTATTATGTGATATTATGAGAAAATATCTTTTGATCCGTTTGTGTTGGTTTGCAAGAAGATCCAGAGCATATAAAATGACAGTAACATCAGTATCATAATTTAAAAAGGGGGGAAGAAAAGAGACGAATCTCCCATACGACATAAAGCACTTAAAAAGAAGTGTCAAAAAAATTATATGAGTTGGCGGTGCGCAATCGCTTTCAACTGTTCTAGTCTATTCTTATTCTATTTAATCACTGACTGAATTGGTGTCATAACGATATCACATCATATCTTATAAAACTAGTATAACAACAGTTAGTCACAGATAATATCGACTCTTGAATACAATGTTACTAGCATACTGTACCCACAAATTAGGCAACAACCATTGACAACCTAATACCCTAACCAAAATTTTCTGTTTTAAAAAATATTAATGAAATAAACAAGCTAATACTACCCTCCTTATCTCTGACCTTAGCCTTTTTCCAGGCTTTTACTTCCAATCCAAGTACTTGAATGATATGATATATAGCTTTGATCAAGCCCGCTTAACCTTGAATAAAGCAATGCTTCAATCCACAAAAAAACTAAATGCAATCAACTTTAGCCTTTTAACCGGAATGACCCTTCGACGTCTCCCCCATCCCCACCTTTGATTCACCTTTAACTCTCCTATAGAATAACACATAAGCAGCTGAAGTCTTTATTTCGGCTTCAGTAACAGCAGAAACATGACTGTCATCAAAATGGTACCATCTATTCTCATCAATTAACTGCACAAATAGCCAAAAGTAAACATGTGTTATACCTCAAGTGAAACTAGTGTCGCAAAATGGCCTAAAATCTAAATAACAGAACAATATGAGAGAGAGATCTACTGGAAAGAGACAGAATCCACACTATGTGTTAACAACCAGAATTGTGAAGCTTTACCTTGGCATAAGCAGTGTAATGCCCACCACCTAGACCACCATAATGGTTGCTGATTGCATATAGGTCATACACGTAAGATTCACCACTCTTGCTTTTCATGTATTTACTCAAGTCAAGATTGTGAATCGGAAAATTCACGAAAGTGTCAAGTTTATTCTTCATGTATCTGCTATATGAGAACCTTTTTAAGTGAAAGACAAGAACATCAGGCAATGTCCACAAATCTAGCTTCTTGGTGGCTTGTCTATGTTCCTTGCAACGGGGGCAATACCTGCATTAAAAACTGACAGCGTGAGGCTTTTTTTTTTTTTTTTTTTCTTTTTTTAATGAACTGCATCATTATAAGAATTTGTAAAAAAGTTTCTTAAAGTAATAAAAAGAAGTCGCAAGTACTCTACCACATGTCATCAGGCCCCAGAGGTTCTTCAGTCAAAAATGCGTCCAGACATGAAAATAAGGAGATAGCTTCTTGCCGGGTTTTCTTCACAGTGAAACCCGTTTTATGTACCTCTGGAAGATCCTCCAAGAAGCTGGGATCATATAATTCACGTACTTTATCAGTCCAGTCCAGCAGCACTTTTATATGTTGCCCAGGTTTTATGACGGTATCCTTCTTAATGGGCTTCCAGCTAGTAATCTTATGATCGCTTTGAGAAAGCTGGAAGGATAACTCCCTGCTGGGTGAATCCTCTAGTTCTGGAGTCTCCATCGGCTGGTCACAACTATTTGATGGTTCATCATCAGCTTCTGAAAGAAAGCCATTTTCCTTGCCCTTATGAGCTTTAACTGAAGAATATGTTCTTCTCAAAGGTGACAGCATTCTAGAAACAGTATTATCAATGTCAGCTCCAGTTAAATGATCTTCTTCTAAGTAAGTAACCAGAGGCGCTCCAAAAAGTTTCTTCTCACCACCCTTCAGATAATCTGGTGAAGATCTGGAAGAAAAACGAATAATTTCAGCTCGAAGATAGAGATAAAGAAAAAAGAATAACACTCAATTTAATCAGCACATCCAGGTAACAACTAAGTGATTATGCATTAAAAGGTGAGGTTCTTTCTCTCACACCTTTATTCACTACTAATTAAGACAGATGCAGGAAAATATTCCTCATTGCCATGCTTTTCGAATGAAATGAATTTATTTATTTTTTTCACTAGGCTGATGTAAATCAATTTGCTTATACAAGGTGTACAATCATATGGCTACTGAATGTAAACCACAAAAGTGCATGCATCATGTTACCAGAAAAATTTAATTGCAAGTGAAAACAGAAGGCAGCTTACTTTTCTGGCCATCGGTTCACAATTTCCAGTTTTATTTTTCCTGCCTCTTTTCTATCAAAACGGTAAGCCACAATACGCTCTTCATCCTTTATTGTATTCAACATTTCTGCAGGGTTCTCGAAAAATTTAAAAATTTGATGATTATAGACCTGAGAACAAAATCAAATACTTCAGCCACTAAAACTAGAACATAACTGAATAAACTCAATAAAGTAAAAAGAAATAGCATGCCCACCTCTGCTAGCAGAAGGCTTTCATCACTCTTCAGGCAGCATGCAGTACTCAACGCCGAAATGAGATCTTTACAGCAGCCATGCTTCATTACTGTCACAGTGAATGGCATTGGGAGAGCACTTCCATCAGCATAAAATACAGTTACTGTCATTATCCGAGTGACAGTCGAAGGTAGCGGCAATGTCAGGTACATAAAAGGATCAAAAGTAATTGAGATTTTGTCGCAAAGTGGGCAAACCAGTGTCGACTTATATTGACCCTGAGCATATCATCCACACAAAACAAAAATCAGAGGGAACATAAGCACAAGACAAATCACAAGAGACACGTCTTTATTCATGCATAGAAAACAAAATATAAATTTAAACACAAAAATTGAAATTTGTTCTTCATTCATTTATACAATAATAAGTTCTTCAAAAATAGATGTTAAAGGGGCCTGAATATTTGCAAAAAAGAATTTTCAAAAGTTGTTCTAAATATGCTTAAAAGAATCCTAATTTGAAGTCGTAAATAACAATAATGCTTAACTGCAGTCAATTACTGTCTATGCAATGAGAAGAACGAATCATTCACTGTACTTAGTTAAATTATCTATGAGAATTAATTTAAAATCATTTAGTAAATAACTTTCTAAGAAAAGCATGCACACACATCATAAAAAGAAATCTCACTTGAAAAACATCCACAATCAATGAATCATTGCGAGCCTTGTGATTTATCCAACACTCATTTGCCACTTCCTCATCTGGGCGACCATCGGAGTCCTTCATTTCAATGTAAGGCTTTTGTTTGACACGATTCAAATCTTCATGCAGGCCATCCAATAAGAAGGCAAGAAGTTCCTATAGAACAGTTTTCATCATCCAAAAAGAAAAAAAAATCTCTTAATTTATAGTGTTAAAAAAGTTGCAGTAATTCAAAATGGATTTTCAACATTCCATGTGAAGAATAAACTAGTAATAAACATGAGCCATTGGCATATTTTAGTCAGGAAATAAACATGCTATAAGCCTGCTATACATCACAAATATAAAAAAAATTTGAAAAACTAAAATGACAAAATGAAACTCTACTGCCATGTGAAAACATGTTATCATTGATCTCTAGGTCATTCCAAAATTTTTCAGAAATATCAAAACCTAGGAGCATGGAAGCATTGCATATCAACATCTTTAAATTAAGTACAAGAATCAAGTAATATGAAAGTAACTACAGCATATCATTCATTTCTAATTCTCAGTTCAATCTACAACTAGCATATAAATGTATTAGGGTGTAATAACTGAACAGTGAACTATCTTTTCAAATAGGTAGATGCACAATTTTTAAGCAAGTGTTACTTAACAAGATATATTGTAAGCACATAGCAGCAACCTAAAATGCAATCCTACTACATCACTGATCCAGACATGCTAATTGCATCTCATACAGTTTCACAGACCACCAAGAGCCCTAAAAAAGAGTTAGTATGGTATGACGACTGCAACTATAATACTATATAACCACTAATTTAGATAGTGCATGATCCCCCTCTCATAGGGAGTTACAGTTAGACCTCCTTTAAGAAACCTCCAAACAGCCAATTAGATCAGGGGATATAAGGCATCTACTCCTATAATTTTGCATAAAAGAGAGAAAAAAAATCTCCTTAACAAAGATGCATTCAAAAAAATAAGGAAAATATCTAAATTGTGATAAAAACCTGAGAATCATGCTGGTTGTAACCACTGAATTGGGGAGCAAATCGAGCAAGTTTTCCCTTGAAAGCACGTGGTGCAATTGTAGTTCGCCCAGAGGACCACAATTTCCTCAACAACTCACCGAATGCAAGTGCAAGCTCACCCTGTACAGTCACGACATATCTCAGAATATTATATAAACTGATTGAGAAGTTAATCTTAATACAACGCTAAAACAAAATAATACAAAGTCAAATAAAAGAAGAGAGTGATAAACAAAAAAACCACTTACATGCATTCCTAAAGGATTTTTAATGTTAATCTCATCACTGTAATCTTGCAAAAAGTACTCAGCAAGACGAGGCGTGTGGACTAAACATTGAAGGGAACTATTCATAAAGCAAGTATTTCCCAGATTCTGTAATCCAGCCAAACCTCCCCTCTCTCCTTTTTTAACAGTGTTATAAGAGTCGTATCCTTCATCCATATCTGTTAATGCTGAGCCCAAAGAACTACCCTGATACTGATTAAATCTATAACCTGTTGAGTGACCATTTGACATGGTAGGCCCCCCAGCGATTGTTAGGGATGACCTTGATGGTTCTAGGGGTACCAAAGCTAGTTCATTTCCAGTGGAATCCATGTCAAAGCGAGAAGAATAACCTCCATCAACTTGAACCTCCAGAAGAAGCTGCAAAGAAAAGAATACATCAACCATACAATTTATAAAAAAGAGATTTCAAATATCCATAGATATTCAGATAAGTTTAACAGCAAAGACCATGATAAAGAAATTGCGACAACAACAATTTCTTAGTATATACTGACAATTTCAAATAAAATCCAAAATCTTAAGCAAAGTGCAATAAATTTTAAAAGTTAAAAGAACAATCAAGAAAGTGTTTATACAAAATTGTATGAAGACAAGTAGGCAACTCTTAAAAAAATAATGTTAGTACAAGCTAATTTCCAAATACACTCACATACCATTACGAATATCCAAAGAAAGAAGACAACTATAATCAAGTATATCCAAAAAATGTTCACCTACGTTCTGATCATTTTTCTCTTTTGGCTGGGGAAGTGGTGTTAGGAATATGGGATGGTGGGGGTGGGGACTTGTCTAAAATAATATTATTCAAATAAATATAAAACTTAAATCGCTCAATACATTCTAAGTCCAAATTTCCTTTTTATACTCAAGCATGAGTCTAAACTCCTACATTTCCAGATTCACACAATCTATCCACATGTCACAAGGACTTCCATTTCCAGATAAAAATATATAGTAGAGCAATATATTGAATGAACCAGTTACTACAAAAATTATCAGCAAAGAACTATTATTATCATTGTTCAAAAATGAAAACTAAATGACAACAAGATACAGACATTGAAACATTACACCACAAGACTGCATCTATTTATGTTCTACTTATTATCCATTGTCTAGAAGAGACAGTCACCCCAATCATAAATAAAAAGCAAGTTCAGTAAATTACAAATAATTCACATTTAGAATGAAAATCACAACCAGACATACATGCCCATAGATCCACAAAAAGACACCCAAAAAAAAAAAAAAACCATGGAATTTTCGATACAATCCCTTTTCTTATTTGCTAGATAATTTTCCATCCCAATAACACTTCGAATAATAAACATAAGCAGGATACTCACATGTTGATCCATTTGCAGCATTGCATCATCCAGGGTTTGATCCATAGCATCCAATAGTGATCCTGAATGTTTTCGCTCATTAAAGTAATCCCAAATGCTAGCCTATTGATATACATAAAAACCAAAACAAACAATAAAACTTTATTGTACCTGAAAGAAAATGTAAATATAAGAAACAAAATACCAAAAAGATAAGGGCAAACACACCTTTTCTTTTTGTATTCCTTTCAATTTACAGACATTTTCATAAAGTTCACGTATAGAAGCCTGGACAGAAGGAAAACAAAAGAACCAGAATGGTCTAAAATAGGTCAATAAAGCTCTTAAAAGCCGTCCATAAACCAAGCAACAGACAGCAAAGCCTTAGATATATGACTCATTAACCAAAAGTATTCATTTCACCATACATTTTACTCTTGGCATTACCTTTTTGCTTAATTTAATGATTGATTGACTGTTGTCTCTAGAATCAATCAAATTGAGAGAGAGTGGGTAAACCTCTACTCTCTTCTCACAGGTAATGCCCTCACAAATCATCTTTCTTGGCAATGTTGGGCCTCCTTTGTACCTAAAATTTAGAGAATAACCAGTTAAAAAAACGTAAGCTATGCAATTAATGGAGAATTCATACTAATGCCTACAATATCAGAAAAACGAACATTTTCACTCGACAAATTTGGACAAACAATTCCATTCCAAAAACTAATAAACCAGCTTTACACATACATCAGCATAAAATTTGAATGTCAAACATAGTCATAAGCCGTATCAAACAACTATCTTAAAGTTTCCAATAAAAACAAGTCAAACCGACCATATTCCTTATTTATTTTATCAACAAACATTGATGTACTCACTGAAAAGTTCTCCAAGATTTTCCTAGTTGACTTGTTAGCAAACAGATGTAGTATAAGTTTCAATTCACAAATATCCTAAAAGCAACAGAGGTCATGTATGGAAATCAAAAAGAAACAGCATGAAACCATATCAAAAGATTCCTCGTAGGCCACATATTCACAAAACTAGCAAGATGACTAACTTCAAACTTTTATTATGCAACCGTCCAGAAATTCAATTACAAACCATTACATTTCAACTTTCACCAATCTACTGCAAGAAGCAGCAAACAATAATTACCCAGAATTCATCCTCCATGGAAGCAATTAAATAATTCATTCACCCTGAGCACAAACAACCTCAAACTAAAGCCTAGTAGATATGAAAAGATTCAAACCACAAAGGTCCTTGGAAGAAAATGAAATACCAATGAAAAAGCTTTTCCCAAATTTGTTGAGGAACTAAAACATAGTCCTGCCCTTCCACCAAATTTCTACGAAGCTCTAGAGCGTCACCTTCACCACCATTACTATTTTCTATTAAATCAGAATTATCAATGGGTCCCGGCCTCTCTGAAGAAACCCCATCCAAACGTTGGGAATCAAACGATAGCTTGTCAATCAACGGTTCATCACCACCAACGTACCTCTCCCAAATTTTATACCACCTGCACAAACACAACAACTTAGTCTATCAAAAATAATTAAGAAAAATACACATAAAATTTACAAAAAGAAAAGTTAAATTTCCACAAACATATGGATGCATGAATGGAGAAATAACAGAATAATAATCTTTCATCTAAGCAATATAATAAAAAATAATAATAACTTTATCTAAGGAGTAAAAACGAAAAATACCTCGCTGAAATCAGGTAGTACAAGTTGCCTTCTTTCAAATCAATCTCAGATTGATTACTCAAGTCTTGTACGATCTGTCTCTCTTCATCAGGCGTGCAAGGCAAGCAACTCCCTCCGTTCTCCATCATCAAAACCGAAGAATGTCGAATCGTCATTTTTGATTTTCCTCCCTATATACACACATTCAATCAAATCAACACAAGGATACGATTTGAATTCAAATCAATATCAAATCTAATTTAAATTTTAAACCTAGATTGAAGGAAGGAAGGAAGGAAGGAAGGGAGGAAGGGAGATTTGATCTGAGGAGACGAAAGGAGAGGGTAGAGAGAGAAAAAAAATCGATCTAATTACCGTCGTATTTTCAGCGATTTTGTCTTTTTCCTTTTTTCTTAACTCTGGAGTCACGCACCCTTTTATATCTTCCAACTGCAAAAACCCACACCATAAATAAATATAAATATCATTTTCATTTTCTGTTCCTCTATTCATCCATCATGAGTCATGTTTCACATAAATGCATTACACGCACACATCCATGTAATGCCAAAGCCCCACGCCCATTACTCTTCTGTTTAAAAGATATTTTACTTTTTCTAATTCAAAATATTGATTTTGATGACTTTGAAAAACTTTCATAAGATTTATTAAATAAATTAATAGCTGAAAAAAGCAGGATAATCATCGTACGTGGTTGCCTGTTTGCAAAACAAATAAATTGACTGCTGTCTCTGGGCTCTTTTTTGTGAAAAAAAATTTTGCCTTCCTCAACATGTTAAAAATGAAAATGAGCATGGGAATTGTCATGTAGAATGAAAGAATTCTTTTATATGTTGATACTGGTAAGTTTATAAGGAAATCCAAATGCAAAATCTTTATACCCAAGTAATTCCTTACTGCTTTCTTTAAAACTCACAGATACTCTACCCAAAATGGCATCTTACATTCCATTTCCAAATTGTTGCCAAAATTACAAATTCATATGTACACACTAATATTACATTTTCAACATCTGCCCAAGCCCATCAACTTTAAGCCCATCTCATCATAAAAGTTTGATCAAACATAATACAGTACAATGAACATCCAACATGGAGCCAACAACCGTCGCATAAGACATGCGACGCCTTGTAGTCTCGTATGCACAAGTAGCTGGGTTCTCTGTTGCAACACAACCAGTGCCGAACCAGAAGAGGCACTTTCTGACTCGACTTTTTAACTGAGATGGTGCTCCCAAATCTAGGAAAATCATATTACAATACACTTGGTCCCCAGAACTATGTAGTCTCTGTCTCATCCGAGCTAACTGAAGCCTCACTTCCTGCTGGGCATGCACTACCTCCGTGGGTCTCATCCTCGCTGAACATGCTCTCGTCACTAGAATTGGAAAACAGGCCAGCTTCATCATCATCAGAGGCCAAGTCTGCCTTCCGTCTCCTACGCACATCCTTTATTCCCCTTCCTTGTAAAGCTAGCCGTCGTCTTTTCCTTGCCTTCCGCTTGCCCTTGGGAAACTCTTCCCTTTGTGACTCAAGGCTTTTACTTTCTACCTCCTTTCCAGTTCTTCCATTGCCATATTCGTTATCCTCAGATTCATCAGCATCAAATTTGCGCCTTTTCCTAGTTGAACTAGTCTGGTACAGAATAAGGCAATTTCATTTAATTTCAAAATCCAAAAGCAGTTAAATCCGGTAATAATGTGATTTTATGGGAGTAAAATTTCAAATATATTAATAAAAACTACAATATTATGTGAGCCAGGCCTCCCTTGACCACAAAGAAAACCTGCCCCTGATCACCCAGCACACCTTAAAGAGACACCTCACAAAATCACTGCTCAAAACAATTCATGCATACCTTGGGACCACGATCAACCAACCGAGCCCATTCATGTCGGTTCCGCAGGCAATCAAGAACAGCCTGTGAATGGCTTGAATATGCATATCGCTCTCCATTATGCTTCCTCAAATGAGGCCAATGCTGCCAAAAGAAGCAATGAGNAATATTATGTGAGCCAGGCCTCCCTTGACCACAAAGAAAACCTGCCCCTGATCACCCAGCACACCTTAAAGAGACCTCACAAAATCACTGCTCACAACAATTCATGCATACCTTGGGACCACGATCAACCAACCGAGCCCATTCATGTCGGTTCCGCAGGCAATCAAGAACAGCCTGTGAATGGCTTGAATATGCATATCGCTCTCCATTATGCTTCCTCAAATGAGGCCAATGCTGCCAAAAGAAGCAATAAGAGAAAGAAGGAAGAAGAAAAGAAAAGAATGACGCAATTTTCTTTCTCAAAAAAAAAAAGAATATACAAAAAACAGTAGGTGCAAACATACTGGCAGGACAGCATTGCAGAGTTCCTCGTAAGTCATCCTCTTGCCTTTGCCCATGATATCATTGATCAAGCCTATATATGGATCAATAAGAAGAGGAAAAGGTAAATAGAAGCCACAATTTTTTCATTAAAAAATACATTAATAGTTTTCCAGCTAAAATGAATATTGATCAGGAGAAATTTTAAAACAGAAATCCCAATAGTTACCAGGTAAAGTGCGATGAACAGGACCACGATTTGTGCCTGTATCATCATCAGAGATATTCCTTGGTGAATAACGTACAGATGACACATTATGATCATTGACCTCAGTGGAAGATGATGGGCCACTATTTGCAGTTGTGTTAGAGAGAGAGGGCATATTCTTCTTCACAGAATGAACTGCTGTCGGAGACCCATTATCTTCCCTTCTTGTATAACTATCTGCTGCATATCCCATATCATGTCTCCTCAGATCTGGTGAAGATGGCACTCTGTCCACCTTTCTAGCTTCATCATCAAGCTCACGAGAAGGACGGACACCATCTTTCGATGCATCCTTGCTTTTTCTTCTAGAAACCTATAAAATGTATCAACTATGAGATTAGTTACCAGAGTTGAACCAAACTAATAATGTTACCAACGGCTGCAGACACTAAGAAATGGGTATCATATATTCTAGGAGAGAGGAGAAGCATTGTACCAAATTGTGATCCTTTCCTCCAGAACTAGATGAACGCTTCATTAACATACTTGTTGCAGTTGGAGAAGCCAACTGAGGCAAGGTACCAGTGTGCCGCACACGTGGTACACGAGGTACTCTAGGAGAGCTGTTCAGTTCTTGATGCAAAAGCAAAGCAAGCTGACAAAATAAATGTAAAAGAATTAAAAACAAAGTAATCTTCTTAGGTAGAGGGGAAATCTAGTGAAACAAATGGCACTTTCACTCGCACCTCTTCATCACTTAGAATCGCAGGAGCATTTGAAGCTGCAGGAGGATGCATGGATGCCGCATGATTCACCTTAGGTGATGGCTGAAAATTTGCCTGATTTAACTTTTCACTTCTTAGAGGTAAACCTGAAGTTGACATCTTATTTTGTGTCTGACTTTGCACCGACCCAGCAGACTCACCAGAGACTGAAGCAACAGCAACATTCTGCCCTGATGACAATTTAGAAGATGAGAAAGGCACAGAATCTTTTGAATCTGACATGGTTCGCTTTGAAGTAGCATGTAAAGTCCTGCTGGAGTGCGACACTTTTGATAAAGGATTCACAGATGATTTTGAATGCTCTTTTGTTGATTTTCTCAACATGTCTTGTTTTTCCTCATCCCTGACGATGTCACTAACAGCACGATCTTTCTTAATACTAACATTATTCTCAGATGATACTCTTTGTTTAGCATTAAGATTAGAGTTCTGAGTATCTGCAGGTTTCAAGTTTTCAGAAGCAGATGATTTGGTGACCACTGTATTTGACAAAATGGATGATGATTTTCCGACAGCTACTACCATTTTCTGCTGGCTGGTTAGTGCCACAGAGTTTAAGCTATTTCCTTCTAATTTTGATTGCTCCATGACACTCCCTGAATCTTGTTTGGGTTCTGGGGAACTTTTTTGCATTTGCATGGGACTATCTAAACCATCCAGTTCTCGTCTAATATGACAAGGATCACCACTTACTTCAGGAACTTTATCTGAATGGTAATCACTGACTGCTTCTGAAGTTCTTTCAGCACCCTGTGCCTTATGATCACTTGATTGTGAACAGGTTGCCATTAGATAATTCACTTTAGAGTTTTCAGACATGTGATTATAAGCTTTATTTTGTACTTTGGCATCACCAGGAGAGGACTGCAAATTCAAGCTACCCCTAGAATCATCATTAGCCACTTCTGTTTTCACTTCAACATAGGGCATTACAGAGCTCCGACAGACACCACTTGAATCTTCAAGAACCTGATTGTTCCCAACTTCTGGTCCAACATTAACCACGTCTTCAACATGAGGCTTCTGAGCAGTTTTAGAAGAAGCTTCATGGCTATCATCTACTTTATCAAGAGCTATGCTATCTCCCTATAAAAGATTTGGAGAAGTCATTTCAATACAATAGGTATAGTTTTAATGCACATAGAAAAGAGAAAGATGTATAAATATCAACAGACCATTACAAGTCAAACCCAGTCTGCAATCTTTATATGAAGCATTCATAAAATTTCTTAGAAGGTGCACAGGTCTTGTCTGTCTAGTGGTTGAAACTATAAAATAAGCACTAGAACTAATCTTCTTAAGTAAAGTGCATGCAACCCAAAAAAAAAAAAGGTGATTACTAATAACTTAGCTCTTTCATTTTGTTGTCCATCCTTCTTAAACCTCTACAAGTTTCCAGCTTTCAAAAAACTGATAAAGTATCCCAGCTAGCAAAAACCAAGTTATAGAATTCTCAACTATCACCTCATTTCTCAAATCAAAGTGAAAAGCTAACTACTAGAAAGAGCTGACACTGAACTTGGTAAATGTCATGCATCAGGAACTCTTTGAGAAAACTATTTCTAACTTGACAGGACAAACAACATTATGTTATAAGCAAATTTTGCTGACCTTCCCTCACCTTCGCCTTAAAAAGACATTCCCTTTCCTTAATAAAATATCATTGGCTCCCCTGCCATTATAAAGCCTCCATCAATTCTAATGGTTGAATTTGATCAAAAATATCTGGAACCTCCCCTAACATTGGTGAAAATTATATGGGACCTTCCCTACTGTTAATAATTCTAATGGAAATCGTTAATGGCAGTACAGGTTAGCAATATTTTCAAAAGTTGAGGGTCTCTCACTGAGTTTAAAGCAAAGGTCAGGAAAGTTCACAGAAATGTGCCCTTATAACTTTGCGCCTAATACAAAATACTGATAGTTAGGTTCTACAAGATACACTAGTGATGAAAAGTGCAGTAACATCAGCAGTTGGATAAAGTGGTGTAGAGGTGTTGATGTTGCAAGTTTTGCATTAGTAAGACAGGTTGCCTCAATATGCAAATCATATACATAAAGCACTAATCATACACCTTTTTCTTTTTATGATAAAGGACCCTTCATTAAACCTATTTAAACCACAAACTTGAAAAAAAGTTATCACCACAGTTAGTAAATGCCTGAATCACAAGGAAGCATACCTCTGGTTTTACAGAAACGTTCCTGGTATCATTGTCTTCTAACATTGACCCAGCAATGTCATCAGTTGTGGGAGAACTCTTAACAGCTGCAGGAAGCTGATGGCTGGCCATTTCTTGCTTCAGTCCATCTCCATTTGAATAAAAATGTCTAGAAACATCAGAAGACAAGGCATCCAAAGGGCAGTCATTAGCTGCTAGGTTGTTCTTGGATCTGTCAACACCAGTATCCTCTGCAAGATGACCATCTGATACAGGCTCATGATGCACATCTTCCCGCACATTCTTGCTCTTTATAATCTGAATGTCAGTCTTCGAAGACTTCGGGCCTCTGTCTTCATAAAATTCCAATTGTTTTGCATCACTGGTGGGTCTAAACACTAGTAATATGAATAAAACAAACAAAAACTTGGAGTCAACAAGCGCATGTCAGTTACAACAAGATGAAATTCACCAGTCACATTCTTTCATTAGAGTAAAAGATAGCAACCAAAGTCAAGAACAACATTTTGCATGATAATATATACATATATTAACTGTTTATGCATGCATAGAGCATCCATAGAATTATAATGAACAACATATCACCTGTTCTTGAAGCATGTAAACTTTTCTTCCTCTCATCTGCCTCCTTCTCAACAGCTCTAGCTTTCTTCTTTCCACTTCGGTCTTTGGATATGCCCGAGTCTTCCTTCTTCCGCTTCCCTGGATGTACCACAACTGTCCGTAGCAAACTCCTCTCTTTCTTCATGCCATTCTGAGAACGCCTAACATCTACACCCTCACCTTCCCACTTCATCTCCTTCGAACACACCTTCCTATCAAACCCAACTTCCTCCTCCCTCTCCCTCATTCCAGCCAACACTCCCATAGGTGTTTCTAGAATACTCTCCTTTGACAAAGAGAATAAAACACCTGCCCCTTTATCAACTGGATTCTCATTATCATTATCTTCCTCCTTTAGGTGGACACCCTCCTTCTCATCCCAGCATGGAAACTCTCTATATTGAAAATTAAACTTCTTTGGCACATAACCTGTACACTTCCACAACTCAGGCGTAAAAACTGATGACAGTCCATGAAACAATTGAGGATCCCCACCTGGAATCCCTTGCACATGTACCCTATTTTCCATTGGAATATCAGTCCAAAGCCTAACTGGCCGCCTTGCCGGCCCACTATAAGAACTCTCTAATCTCACAGTTTTTGTGGGCAACTCAACTAACAATTGTGCAACCTCAGTCTCTTCACTATCATTATGACTACTATTCCTATTATTCTTGCTCTTACACTTATCACAGGCAAATGATTCCTCTCCTTTCACATACTTAGAGCATCGCGTGTGAACCCACACGCCACACTCGTCACAATTCACCATCTCTTCACCATCATCGAAAGTCACCCCACACACACAATCCACCGTCCATGAGCCGTCGACCCAGTCATCGTGCGGGTCTACGCTCTGGAAACGGTGGGACCGCCCCCTCATATCTCCGTACTTTGCTTTATCTAACCTAATTGTCAAAAAATCAACAACAACAACAACAACAACAAAAAAGAAAATCTACTCCCTCTAATTGTAACACTAAACCTAATTCACATTTGATCTAAGCTAATTGAACAGTTATCATATCTAATTCTCACACCGCAAAGATTTTCAGAAATCGGTAAGTGAAATTAAGGTTTAAGAACTGAGTACCTGGTAACCTTAAATCCTTCGTTGACGTTTATGCAAAGAGAAATAGAAGAGGAATCATTATTTTGTGAAATAATGGATCTCTCTATCAATCTTCAACTGCACCAACAATAACGGCTTCTCGCGCACAGATGCCTTTGGCTTTCGCCGGAACTCAAATGGAATTATGTTGGTGCTTGGCGTCCGTGTCTATAGAGCATTGAATAATTCATCCTTTCGCGGCTAGGCCTCCAAATATCGCGACCCAGCCCACGACCCTGCCCGGGCCGGCCCATTAATCATATATACTTTCAACTAGATGAATCTTATAATAGTTTTATGTGTTGATTACGATAACGATAGTTTTCTATTTAAACGAGTAATTTTACGTTCATAACCTATTTTTATAAACTTCTCTCATAACATTAATGTGATAGTTGAATTAGCACTACTACGTCAGCTCTACCACATGTAAGGTACAAAATAGTTTTGACTAGATTAAAGAAACAACCGTTCTTTATAAAAGAATGATCATTACTCACGAAAAGAATAATCAAAGAAATAATTGTTCCTCAAAGAATAACTATTCTTTCATAAGGGTGTAATCGGAGCTAACGTGACAGTGACAATCTATTGGCATGTTAGCCTTATAAAAAAATATTGTAAGATTGGATTATAAACGTAACATTTTTCTAATTAGATATATATTAATGGCTAAAATAACAAGTACTTTCCTTTTTTACCCTCCTTGATGAGGTGGAATGGACTATGGTTATCAATTAGGTAACAAAAATATCTTAGTAATCAAATTCTACACAATATTTACAGATCTCTTCACGTGAGAAAAAAAAAAAAGTTATTTAATTGTAAAATCAAACAATTGTCTAGTATGCAATATTAAATGAAAAAAAAAAAAAAAAATTAGTAGATTCATTCTTTATTGAGAGATCTCAACCCACACATGTTCCGCATTTCTTAAAATCTGAACGACTTTCTTTCTATACGTATAAAAATACTATTCACAATTCATGAAAAATACTATCCTCTTAAAATGAACGCTACTTTATGCCTGACCTTCAAATTATTTATTCATGAATTATAAAGTCAAATATAACCATGGTTTTAAAACTCGATCCAGTTCAGTCGATTGAACCAATTCGATCGAAAACTGGTGGTTAGATTGAATCGGTTCATATAAAAAACTGGAATTAACATTTGATCCGTTTCTATTCGTTGTTAAACTAGTTTTTTTGCAACGAACCACTGGTTCAACTGGCATAAACTGGGTTTACTAAATTAAAATATAAAAAAAATAATTAAAAATGTTTTATAATCATTGTTAAAAGTTAAAATCTGCATGTTTAAATTTTTGTTTGCTACAGTATACTAACGTCAACACAATGATATCACGGTCTGGCACATCGGTCGGACTGTTCGACACTTCGACTCATCAAACCCATGACTTGGTGGCTTGGCCGGGTTACCCTCGGGTCGGATTTTAACTAGAATGAGAAGCATATTCCATAAGACCGTAATAGAAATACCAAAGGTGATGGCGCGTGGCTGCAAGACGACAAAAGGCCAGGCAGGTAGGTAAGGTAAGTATTATTGAGTCGTTTACTGCTTGGTGTGACTTAAATTACGAAAACACCCTCACCGCTACTCACGTTTACGTCTATCTAAATCAGTACGGACGGAGATGCAGCATAGCAGGCCGTCAGCCCACTCTGTTTAGTATAAGACAAAAAATATTAAAAAATTAAAAATTAAAATTTATAACATACAACATACCCATCATACCCATTCTCACCCACCATTAACTAACAGCCACGTGCGTTTACAAATTCACAATCACCTAACACATACAATATACATATTTATTATTTATTGGGAATGGTCAATGTCATGTCATATCATGTCATGAAACGTAACATGTATGTATGTTTGTTGATGTGTCGATGAGTACAACATCAACCTTTGGTCCATTTTTAGGAGGATGTGAAGCAGATCCTCAGCTCTTCTTCATCGAAGACCATCTTCGATCTCTCATCTTGTAAATTATTAGTAACAGAAAACAAGAAAAACACACTGTAAGAAATTATTTTATTTTTCCTTTTTTACTTTACTCTGTCTACTTTGTTTTTTCTGTTTTATTTATTTTCGTTTTCTCCGTATTGATCTCCAGCTTGTTTTTGGTCCCATCAATGGAAACCATTTTAGCTTAGCCCTATTTTATTTTCTTGATCAATCAATTGCAGAGTTAAGAGGCGAGATTTTGAGCGAGTCAAAAAGAGGAAGAAGAATCATGGCTGTTGTTGAATCAACCAGTCCAGATTCAGCTGTTGTTGCATCATCAGCATCTACACCGGCATCCAACGGAGAGAATCAGCCGAAGCAAAACGGAGTCTCCATGGTGAGACCGCACGATCAGGGCTTGTACGTCACTGGTAACAACCAAAACAATCATGGATCCAACGGAGGAGGTGACTTCAAGCATGATATGAGGGAGTTACAAGAGCTTTTCTCCAAGCTCAACCCCATGGCTGAAGAGTTTGTTCCTCCTTCACTTGCTAAAACTAATGGATTCACTGGAGGTTTCTTCGCAAACAACTTGCATCTTTTGCATAACCCAAACACTGGAAATGGAAATGTTAATGCCAACGCCGCTCTTCGACGGGTAATCTCCCTACTTTCATTTTTATGTTTTCTTATTATTTATTCTTTAGGGTTTTAAGGCCAGATCAACTCACTGCAGAGCTCGTGGTAAAGTGATTCATTTTGTGGGGTATCAGTTGATAAAAATTTAAATTTCATACTTTTACCTATCTTTGTTGGTAAATGTTAAAGGAGAAAAAGAAAAAAATGACATCTTAACTTTTTGTGTCAATTAGAGTTTCTAATTTTTGTAAAAACAAACAAAAATTGAACCTTACAGGGTTCTGTTTGGCAAAGGTTATGGTTGGTTATGGTTTTTTTTTTTTTTTTAAATAATGGTTCAGATGTTGAATAACTTATTACAATGGAAATTTAGTTGTTTTATTATACATTGTGTGAACTCGTCCATTGTATTAATGGATGGGTATTTGTTCTCAGAAGAAAAGCTTTGGCCAGGGCAAACGGAGAATCAACAGCAGGACTAGTATGGCCCAGCGGGATGAGATAATTCGGAGGACTGTATATGTATCTGACATTGATCAACAGGTATATACGAAAGCAAATTCTTGGTTATATATATGTTCCTTCTTTTGACCTGCCTTTTTGGGGATGCTCGCTTGTCGCCGTGTCCCTTTTTATGTAGACTAACAGATTGTCTTTTTCGGGACTGAAGGTCACTGAAGAGCAGCTCGCAGCTCTATTTGTAAGTTGTGGCCAGGTAATGGTGTTATTGTTAGTTATTTGAACCACTTTGATGAAGTTCTAGTTCTGGCCTAATTCTTTACCTGTGTATAGGTTGTTGATTGCCGTATTTGTGGTGATCCTAATTCTGTACTTCGTTTTGCCTTTATTGAGTTCACTGATGAAGGTATCGTTTACCCTGCTCTGACTGCTAGTAGATGTTTCTTAGAGTTAATTGGTTAGTCACTTATTGTGTCTATTAAACACCTTATTTTATTGCGCTGGTGGTGTTTTCCTTAAGCAGAAGGTGCAAGGGCTGCTTTAAATCTGGCAGGAACAATGCTTGGATTTTACCCTGTCAGGGTGCTGCCTTCCAAAACAGCTATTGCTCCAGTTAACCCAACATTTTTGCCCAGGGTGAGAAAGTTACCCTTGAGGCCTCTACATTATAACATGGTTTGAAACTATCTTACTGATGTTTTGTTTCATTATGTGTATCCTGTTTATCTTTCGGGATCTTAGAATGAAGATGAACGTGAAATGTGTGCAAGAACTATCTATTGTACAAATATCGATAAGAAGGTAAGTTTTTTTAATTGGTGATCCCCGAATTCATTCTGTGATTGTAGACTATAAAACCCTTTCTCATTTACTACAATTTTGTTTTGTGCAGGTCACTCAAGCAGATGTGAAACTCTTTTTTGAATCAGTCTGTGGAGAGGTTTGTGGTTATCCTTGTTGTTAACTTAAAAATTCTTTTTCTTCTAAAAGTTTGTATCATTATTTGAGCAAGGATGAATTTATGAGGTCTACTTTCTCCAATTCAGGTTTATCGCCTGAGGCTGCTAGGAGACTATCACCATTCTACTCGCATTGCTTTTGTGGAGTTTGTAATGGTAATTATTTTGTACTATTTATTCATGCATGATGGATATCATCTCATCCACAAACCTTCATTGCTAGGTTAGAGGAATTTCTATGAAGGCCATTGGCATAATGAAGGGTTTTCCTTATGCTTATGAAGGGCTTAATAAAGGGCTTTCAGGTGATCAAGTAATTAAGGAAATGAGTATAGGTGATATAAGTTCTAGATATGAGGATGTTGGTCTAATTTTCATGTATTATAATGACAACTCTATACCAGTAGAGATAGGAATGCTTTTCTTTGCAATTTTCTTTTTTAGAAATCTTTACATAAAGGTTAGTGAAATTTAAGAATATTCTGCAGTATAGATGTGTATCAATGGGACAGCTAAGTTCAAGGAGGTTTTATTACCCCACCCATGAAAAAGAAACAACTGTGACTAGGAATTTGGGTGGATTAGCCTTAGGAGAGTATTGGTCTCCTTTCAATGCCTCAGGGAGACTGTAACATCAACCAGTGACTTTGAGACAATGGTCTAGCTAAAGTTTATCATCAGGATTGGGATTATTGCCTTTACTTTCTTGTTTTTATTCTTCCGGCCAAGAGAACACATGACATGTATCTTTGAATAAACATATTTTTTCCCATCTGTCTATGAAATTGTGAATTGCATGACACCGAACATTTGTTTCAGGGAGTAAAATGGCAAATTAGAGTATGCTTCATCTTCAAAAGTCAAGATCCCTACTCTTTAATCAAATTAACTTTTGGATTTTTTGGACTTTACACAAATGATCAGCGACACGCTTTGACATAATGATTTCAATTCATCATATTTCTAACAACATTTTTCTTAACTGGTTTTGAATAATGATAGGATTGTTACTCTTGATATTCTTGAGATTATTAATGCACCCATAGAATGACCTATACCTGCTAGGCTCTGTAGCAGATTACAAGTTGCCTAGAAGGATGTCTACTGAAGCCCTTAATTTATTCATCTTTTTTCACAAAAAAAAAAAAAAAAGAAAAAAAAAAAGGAGAACTAAATCCTGGCTTTATCTTTGTTGGCTGGTATTGTATGTTAGTGACCATCAGTACTGATTTTCATCTTGTTAATGGGAAAGCATAGCGATCAAAGTGAATGGAATGTGCACACTAGCAACTGTGGAGTTTTATGTTGAGTGGTTCTTGATTTTTTAACTATGTAATTTTAAAAAAAAAAAAAATTAATTAATTAATTTCATTATAAATAGTATTTCCAAAATATATAACCCAATAATTATTAGCACAATATTTTTGTAATTCCATTTTAATGATCTGAAATCTCATTAATCTTGCATTTATAACAAGGTCGCCTTGTTTGTAGCCCCACTGTCCCACATTGTGGGGAAATTTGTTTAACTGTGACTACATTCTTATATTTTCAGAAGTAATTGCACAGCTTGATAAATCTTTTCTCGTGTAAAGATCTCATATCTATCATTGCTTGCATAGGCAGCATTCAAACTTGTCATTTTTGTTTTTAGTATTACTCAAATTGGGGTGGGATCTGATATCCATTGGACCATCTTCATTGGATTGAGCACACAGTCTGAATTAAACAGCTGAAGGTCCCTCTTTTTTGTGGTCACTGCCCAATGTGTTCCATTGTGTTTTTGAAATGTGCTTGTGTTGACAAATTTAATGTGGAGTATGCTGTTCTTTCCAAAACATTGAAAGCTTCTTGTAGGTATATCTCTCTGTGACAATGGATTATATGGTATTTGTTTGTCTTTCTTCTATTTTGGTGAGTCTTCCTTTTTATGTGCTGCTGAAACTTTAATTATTCATCTTGGATTCTGAATTGAAATCTCTGTGATTCCATTGCCATGTTCTATTCTTGATTTTTTTTTCTGATTTTTTTTTTCTGTTATTTTTGGGACAATTCATGGTTTTTTACTATATTTCTTCTTCTTAGGTTTCATATTTTCTTTATGGGGGTGTTTGAGTTGCATCGTTGATATGAAGTTCTCAGGAAAACTGATTGATTCAAATAACTTTCTGTGATCAGCTCTTTGCTTCCCTAATAATTAAGCTGTAGTACTAGAGCATAAATCTGCTGTTCTTAGAACTAGCTCATTAATGATTGCATCTTTGCTCTTTGGATTTACCAACACAGAAGTCATTATTATTGAATACAGTCATTTCTTTGGTGCTTTATGGATGAATAGTACTGCATGGATTGGTCATTCAGAGCCCTGGTGTGTTTGGGCTCAGTTTAGACCTAGAGAAGTGACTATGGATGCCATGTTCACTTATTGTGTGTACAAAATGTGCTAGATAATCCACATGCCAATTGCTTTCGTGCTCATAAACTGGTGGATGTTATTTGTTGGGGAAGTTGGCTTTCAAAACCAAATGATACTTGTTTGAACTGAAATGGAAATGACCTGTGGTAATCTTTTATCCTTTCAGTTGTAAAATATCATTTCTATGGCAGCATGCATATTCAGACGTTTTCTTGACCAGTGATTTTAATGTTTTGAGTAAAGTGTTCTGGATGACATGCTAACAGTATTGCAAACTAATTTCTTAACTTTCTGCATCCACTATCCTTGGTATTACACAAAGAATTAGTGTCTCTGTTGGGAAAAAGAACATATAAATAAGCAAGCACTAGAAATTGCTATTAGACTTTACAGAGGACTTCAAAGCTCAGTTTGTGCATAATCTCTGGCTCCATTTCTCCATCATGGATGAATAATTTGTCATATTTATTCCCTGCAGGCTGAAAGTGCAATTGCTGCTCTCAACTGTAGTGGTGTGGTTCTTGGTTCATTGCCAATTAGGTCAGACCACATGATGTTCCAAATTGTTATTCTTCTTCTTTCTTTGTTTTTTGCTTTTATTAGAATTTTTTTTTTTTCCTTATCTGTAAAAGTTTGACATGGTATTTTCTCACTTTGGTCATTAAATTAACTTTTGACCTTTTGCATGGATCAGGGTAAGCCCATCAAAGACGCCTGTGAGGCCACGTGCTCCTCGTCTTCCCATGCATTGAATCATCCTGATGGTCCCGATGGATTCTAGTGCCAGTTTATATATATTTAGATACATACACACACCAATGTAAAGATGTTCTCATCTCTGGTCTGTCTGTTTTATATACTTTTGTCCGTGGCATCTCTGCCTGGGAAGTTCGTTGTCATAGGGTTTATGTTTTGTTTGTTCTGGCAAATATAGAGTTGGATGGTACTTCGAGGCTTTAGAGATTTCATATATTATTGCTCGTTGTTATGGAATGGATGATGCTTGTTCCAAACATGGGCTTTTATTAGTAACACCTGACATTTTAATCATCCTCGGGCATCTTGTAGCATTAGGGTTCTTAATTTAGTATTTGAGTTTCACCTAGAAGTGTTAGAAAGAGTAAATGGTGGAAGGTGCACAGTTATAGTTGCTGTTGCACACACATTCCAGTACAAAATCCTGTCTTTCTGTGTTTTTTGAGTAATGCTACTTCAATTTCTGTTGCAGAAATTACATGCAGTGGACTTTTAATGCGTCAAGTGTTGCTTATTCAATTGTATGGATTAGAAATTTAGAAGACTCAAATCTGTCTATTCTGTGTTTCTTGGTTCTATGAGCATGTGTTATATTAGACCAGGCTATGCTCTTTCGTAAATATGATATTAGTTTCAGTTTCAGCTTCTATGTTACCTTAAGACTCTGCTTTCATTGTTTTCGTTAGGTGAATGCTGTCTGCTGTAATGACAAAAAAGAAACATAAAAGCGAGCACCAAACCCAGATAAATAACAATGCAAAACCTTAAAATTAAGCAAAATACTGAATCATAAAAAAACCTACCATTCTAAAGGTGCATGCGGAGCCGTTTGGTTACGAAGGATAAGGAAACATAAATGATTGAGAGCGGCAGCCGAGGGAGGAAAAAGAAAAACTAGAAAAGAGAAAAAAGAGAAAGCCACCCCGGATTGCTTTTTTATTAAACTTGACACAGTTATTCTGATTTAAAGGCAAAAGTTTGAATATATTATGAAATTTACACGTTTTACAATAACAAACAATGATGGCAAACCGCTACTGAATTCATTTACTTTTATTAAAATTGGATCCACCCCCATTCAATATGAAACCAGAGTTTTGGTACGATTCAATTCAATAGTTAGCAACTGATATTAAAGAAATAGTGGGTTAATCTGTAGTGCCTTGAAAAGCTTAATGAAGTGGACGACCAAAGGCCTTCCCCAGAGTTTCCGTGGTCTCCCACTTTTTTTTTTTTTTTTTTGTTTTCTTCTGAAACCATCGCCATTTTTCTTTTTAATTAAGATGCTTAGCGGTTCTACAGTAATTCCACCATTAACATCCTCCTATTATTTATCATATCTAAGCTAATTAACTTTTGGCCCCACGAATTTATGAAAAACTTTCACTTTTGTCCTTTATAAAAAGCAAAACAAAGCAGAGAGAGCATGCATATTTTGGACCAAATATTTACCCAACTACTTCAACTGATTCTCTTCTTACCCTTTTCCTTTAGCTCCTGAACTGTCAAAAATGTAGGACCAAATTTGATAAAGAAAGTGAAAGTATAAAATTAAGATGCTTAGCTATAGAGTTTGGTCTCTTCCTTTCCTTTGTTTGACCATTGCTGCTTCTGATAATTGACGGGGATACGCTTTGTATTTGATATTTCTTTATCAAAGCGCAACGATTTTTCCCGCGTCTTCATACGGGGCCTGCCCCAAAGGATCAAAGAGATTGGTTTATTAATTATTATGTATATTTATTTGACCTAGAATTTTTACCAGAAATGAAAAGAACATGTGTTTCCGTGTATGAATTCGCTGGGCCACTGCTACTGCACATTATAAACTTTATAATACAAATTGTAATGCGGCTACCTAGCCTGTGGTGAGATCTCTTTAATAAATTTCTTTTTCCTTTTTATATTTCAGTGGTTGGATTGATTGGAAGCTCTAAAGAAGGATCCCACCGACGATTATATTATCTTTCTCCATATATATATATACACATTTCTTCATTACTTTCCCTCCCTCTAAAGAGAAGAGAGTTACTATCTTGGTAGCTATGGGAAACTGTTTATTCGGAGGGTTTGGAGAAGTTGAAGGAGTAATTAAAGTTATAACTTCCACTGGTGGCATCATGGAGTTTTATCCACCAATTACTGCAGCTTGTATCACTGATGAGTTTCCAGGCCACGCCATCTTTCCAAGCCATGATCTTTTCTGGAAACAACTCTCTCATCATGAAGACCTCTTACCAGGAAAATCTTACTATTTACTTCCACTGAATGAGACCACAGTCACAGACCCTGGTGGCCAAATCGTCCGAGAAGGCCATGTGAGATCAAACAGCATACCCACATCACTTGTTTCTTCTTACAGAATGTCTTGTGATTATCATGGGACGTTAAAGAGGTCATACACAGAAGTTTTCTCCAAGTATAATACAAGTAGTGGGTTTTGGAAAGTGAAGCTTGTGATCAGTCCACAACAGTTGTTGGAGATATTGTCACAAGAGGGTCGCACACAAGAGTTGATTGAGAGTGTGAGAACAGTTGCTAAGTGTGGAAATGGGGTCTCATCAATAGCATCTTCTGTAGCGTTTTCAGATCAATGGAGCCTCTCCAGCAGCAGCAGAAATGCTTCATCTAAGAAAGATTATTTGTTAGAAATTTAGTGAATTTAATTTGCAGTTTTCCCATGTTTTGATATATAATTAGTCAATGTTCTTAGCATTAAAAAAAAGAGGAAAAATGATTAATATTATTACTCTTATTGTATATGTTGTTATATCTTTTAGCAAATCTTGTGTAGCATGAGTTACTGTATTGTCGGTTGTTCATTGTTTGTGTTTGGCAATATGATGAAATCTGAAGGTTGGGGAAGCAGGATTTACAAATTGTCATTAATTTTTGCATATTTTTTCTAAAAAAAAAAACCACACCAAGATCCAGCAACTTTTTTCAAACCAAAATGAGTCCCTTCAACCACCCAAAACACACAGCATGTCTAGGTCTCTCTAAAAATAATTCCAAATACATAGGTCTAACAATAAGAACAAAAGGTAAAAATGTTACCTTAAAGAGTTGTTGAACTTGTGAATGAGATGGAATTCAATAGTGTTAAGCTTGAATCCATAATTTGTACAAATTCCATATAACCACCCATACATAACCTAGTGATAAGGGCGGAGTTGTGCATGACTTCAACCTACAATCTCAGGTTCGATTCATTTATACGAGGCTGTGACGGTGAATTGCTAAATATGATCCTCATGAAGAATAGTCAAGGCGTGCGTTGCTACAGTGGATTTTATTGAATTTACTTCATAATCTACTTTGTGGATTATACCTAATGGGATTACTGCAGTGTTCTTTCTTTTCAATATTATTATTATTATATAAAGGCCGTTAAAACACTCATGAATACACTGTAGTTGATAAGGTCAATTGGGCCATTACTATAAATGATATTTAACTTGGCTATGCTAAATGTAATGGGGTTCTTGTTCAGGTGGCCTGTCATAAGCCCAAATCTATCAATAAATATGTGACGCAATGATGACTTGTGGGTATCGTGCAATTACAGGAAAATATATTTAAATAATTACAACTTCATAGTTACCAAAATGTGATAAATATCTATAGGATTCCTTAAGATTACAATCCTTTAAACATGACATTATATTCTCTTAAGTCTAAATCTCTATAATTAAGCATAGAAACAAATTAGGAACTTGAATAAAATGGGAGATTTAATTAATTTTTCAACGCCACGGCCACCACCTGCCTTGTCAACCCACAATCAAATTTTACTTTTTAATTACCAATCGCCTCACCACACCGACCATTAATAAATTATCAAATGAAACGTCACATGTTCATATTAATTATAACATGCATGCAATTCTTAATTGCCAGCCAGCCACTCTCATTTTGTCTCTTTCTTTCTAATTGCATGAGGGAGGCCATGCCATGCAGGCATCTAATTATCTGCAGAAGACAGCCTCTATCTTTTCGATCAATTCAGCCGCTAAACCTTGTCGACATTTGCCCCTCCAGCAAATGACAACTTAGTGTAAAAATTCAATGTCTCTAAGAAGGGAATTCCCATAATCTCGTAGCTCGGTTTCATGTCTAACCCTAAAGTTTAACATATATAGAAACGTCTTGTTCACCTAGCTTTATCACAAATTCATCATGTCTTGGACTGCTTACGTTAATTAATTCATTTCAATCCATCTTTATCTTTCGTTTAGAAAATTAATTATAAGAAAGAGATGGCAAGGTATCACGTTAATTTCCAATTAAAGTCTCGTTCACATAGCTTTAACTACAGTCACATTTCTTTAGCTGCATGCCTGCATTCACATTTCATACGTGTGTGTTCAGTTCACAGATTAATTACAAATGATTATAGATTAATCCAACGAGGGCCACAGCTTATAGAAGCTTACAAAAACCTTAATTAGTTCTTAATCATTAAGCCACGAAAGAGAGCATGCCTATTTTGGACCAATAATTACCCAACTCTTCAATGATTCTCTTCTTACCCTTTTCCTTTAGCTCCTGAACTGTAAAAATGTGAGACCAAATTTGAAAGAAAGTGAAAGTATAAAATTAAGATGCTTAGCTATAGAGTTTGGTCTCTTCCTTTCCTTTGTTTGACCATTGCTGCTTCTGATAATTGACGGGGATACGCTTTTATTTGATATTTCTTTATCAAAGCGCAACGAATTTTCCCGCGTCTTCATACGGGGGCCCCAAAGGATCAAAGAGAGTTTGGTTTACCAGAAATGAAAAGAACATGTGTTTCCGTGTATGAATTCGCTGGGCCACTGCTAGCACATTATAAACTTTATAATACAATTGTAATGCGGCTACCTAGCCTGTGGTGAGATCTCTTTAATAATTTCTTTTTCCTTTTTATATTTAGTGGTTGGATTGATTGGAAGCTCTAAAGAAGGATCCCCACCGACGATTATATTGTCTTTCTCCTATTTTCTTTATGGGAGTGTTTGAGTTGCATCGTTGATATGAAGTTCTCAGGAAAACTGATTGATTCAAATAACTTTCTGTGATCAGCTCTTTGCTTCCCTAATAATTAAGCTGTAGTACTAGAGCATAAATCTGCTGTTCTTAGAACTAGCTCATTAATGATTGCATCTTTGCTCTTTGGCTTTACCAGCACAGAAGTCATTATTATTGAATACAGTCATTTCTTTGGTGCTTTATGGATGAATAGTACTGCATGGATTGGTCATTCAGAGCCCTGGTGTGTTTGGGCTCAGTTTAGACCTAGAGAAGTGACTATGGATGCCATGTTCACTTATTATGTGTACAAAATGTGTTAGATAATCCACATGCCAATTGCTTTCGTGCTCATAAACTGGTGGATGTTATTTGTTGGGGAAGTTGGCTTTCAAAACCAAATGATACTTGTTTGAACTGAAATGGAAATGACCTGTGGTAATCTTTTATCCTTTCAGTTGTAAAATATCATTTCTATGGCAGCATGCATATTCAGACGTTTTCTTGACCAGTGATTTTAATGTTTTGAGTAAAGTGTTCTGGATGACATGCTAACAGTATTGCAAACTAATTTCTTAACTTTCTGCCTCCACTATCCTTGGTATTACACAAAGAATTAGTGTCTCTGTTGGGAAAAAGAACATATAAATAAGCAAGCACTAGAAATTGCTATTAGACTTTACAGAGGACTTCAAAGCTCAGTTTGTGCATAATCTCTAGCTCCATTTCTGCATCATGGATGAATAATTTGTCATATTTATTCCCTGCAGGCTGAAAGTGCAATTGCTGCTCTCAACTGTAGTGGTGTGGTTCTTGGTTCATTGCCAATTAGGTCAGACCACGTGATGTTCCAAATTGTTATTCTTCTTCTTTCTTTGTTTTTTGCTTTTATTAGAATTTTTTTTTTTTCCTTATCTGTAAAAGTTTGACATGGTATTTTCTCACTTTGGTCATTAAATTAACTTTTGACCTTTTGCATGGATCAGGGTAAGCCCATCAAAGACGCCTGTGAGGCCACGTGCTCCTCGTCTTCCCATGCATTGAATCATCCTGATGGTCCCGATGGATTCTAGTGCCAGTTTATATATATTTAGATACATACACACACCAATGTAAAGATGTTCTCATCTCTGGTCTGTCTGTTTTATATACTTTTGTCCGTGGCATCTCTGCCTGGGAAGTTCGTTGTCATAGGGTTTATGTTTTGTTTGTTCTGGCAAATATAGAGTTGGATGGTACTTCGAGGCTTTAGAGATTTCATATATTATTGCTCGTTGGTATGGAATGGATGATGCTTGTTCCAAACATGGGCTTTTATTAGTAACACCTGACATTTTAATCATCCTCGGGCATCATGTAGCATTAGGGTTTTTAATTTAGTATTTGAGTTTCACCTAGAAGTGTTAGAAAGAGTGAATGGTGGAAGGTGCACAGTTATAGTTGCTGTTGCACACACATTCCAGTACAAAATCCTGTCTTTCTGTGTTTTTTGAGTAATGCTACTTCAATTTCTGTTGCAGAAATTACATGCAGTGGACTTTTAATGCGTCAAGTGTTGCTTATTCAATTGTATGGATTAGAAATTTAGAAGACTCAAATCTGTCTATTCTGTGTTTCTTGGTTCTATGAGCATGTGTTATATTAGACCAGGCTATGCCCTTTCGTAAATATGATATTAGTTTCAGTTTCAGCTTCTATGTTACCTTAAGACTCTGCTTTCATTGTTTTCGTTAGGTGAATGCTGTCTGCTGTAATGACAAAAAAGAAACATAGAAGCGAGCACCAAACCCAGATAAATAACAATGCAAAACCTTAAAATTAAGCAAAATACTGAATCATAAAAAAACCTACCATTCTAAAGGTGCATGCGGAGCCGTTTGGTTACGAAGGATAAGGAAACATAAATGATTGAGAGCGGCAGCCGAGGGAGGAAAAAGAAAAACTAGAAAAGAGAAAAAAGAGAAAGCCACCCCGGATTGCTTTTTTATTAAACTTGACACAGTTATTCTGATTTAAAGGCAAAAGTTTGAATATATTATGAAATTTACACGTTTTACAATAACAAACAATGATGGCAAACCGCTACTGAATTCATTTACTTTTATTAAAATTGGATCCACCCCCATTCAATATGAAACCAGAGTTTTGGTACGATTCAATTCAATAGTTAGCAACTGATATTAAAGAAATAGTGGGTTAATCTGTAGTGCCTTGAAAAGCTTAATGAAGTGGACGACCAAAGGCCTTCCCCAGAGTTTCCGTGGTCTCCCACTTTTTTTTTTTTTTTTTTGTTTTCTTCTGAAACCATCGCCATTTTTCTTTTTAATTAAGATGCTTAGCGGTTCTACAGTAATTCCACCATTAACATCCTCCTATTATTTATCATATCTAAGCTAATTAACTTTTGGCCCCACGAATTTATGAAAAACTTTCACTTTTGTCCTTTATAAAAAGCAAAACAAAGCAGAGAGAGCATGCATATTTTGGACCAAATATTTACCCAACTACTTCAACTGATTCTCTTCTTACCCTTTTCCTTTAGCTCCTGAACTGTCAAAAATGTAGGACCAAATTTGATAAAGAAAGTGAAAGTATAAAATTAAGATGCTTAGCTATAGAGTTTGGTCTCTTCCTTTCCTTTGTTTGACCATTGCTGCTTCTGATAATTGACGGGGATACGCTTTGTATTTGATATTTCTTTATCAAAGCGCAACGATTTTTCCCGCGTCTTCATACGGGGCCTGCCCCAAAGGATCAAAGAGATTGGTTTATTAATTATTATGTATATTTATTTGACCTAGAATTTTTACCAGAAATGAAAAGAACATGTGTTTCCGTGTATGAATTCGCTGGGCCACTGCTACTGCACATTATAAACTTTATAATACAAATTGTAATGCGGCTACCTAGCCTGTGGTGAGATCTCTTTAATAAATTTCTTTTTCCTTTTTATATTTCAGTGGTTGGATTGATTGGAAGCTCTAAAGAAGGATCCCACCGACGATTATATTATCTTTCTCCATATATATATATACACATTTCTTCATTACTTTCCCTCCCTCTAAAGAGAAGAGAGTTACTATCTTGGTAGCTATGGGAAACTGTTTATTCGGAGGGTTTGGAGAAGTTGAAGGAGTAATTAAAGTTATAACTTCCACTGGTGGCATCATGGAGTTTTATCCACCAATTACTGCAGCTTGTATCACTGATGAGTTTCCAGGCCACGCCATCTTTCCAAGCCATGATCTTTTCTGGAAACAACTCTCTCATCATGAAGACCTCTTACCAGGAAAATCTTACTATTTACTTCCACTGAATGAGACCACAGTCACAGACCCTGGTGGCCAAATCGTCCGAGAAGGCCATGTGAGATCAAACAGCATACCCACATCACTTGTTTCTTCTTACAGAATGTCTTGTGATTATCATGGGACGTTAAAGAGGTCATACACAGAAGTTTTCTCCAAGTATAATACAAGTAGTGGGTTTTGGAAAGTGAAGCTTGTGATCAGTCCACAACAGTTGTTGGAGATATTGTCACAAGAGGGTCGCACACAAGAGTTGATTGAGAGTGTGAGAACAGTTGCTAAGTGTGGAAATGGGGTCTCATCAATAGCATCTTCTGTAGCGTTTTCAGATCAATGGAGCCTCTCCAGCAGCAGCAGAAATGCTTCATCTAAGAAAGATTATTTGTTAGAAATTTAGTGAATTTAATTTGCAGTTTTCCCATGTTTTGATATATAATTAGTCAATGTTCTTAGCATTAAAAAAAAGAGGAAAAATGATTAATATTATTACTCTTATTGTATATGTTGTTATATCTTTTAGCAAATCTTGTGTAGCATGAGTTACTGTATTGTCGGTTGTTCATTGTTTGTGTTTGGCAATATGATGAAATCTGAAGGTTGGGGAAGCAGGATTTACAAATTGTCATTAATTTTTGCATATTTTTTCTAAAAAAAAAAACCACACCAAGATCCAGCAACTTTTTTCAAACCAAAATGAGTCCCTTCAACCACCCAAAACACACAGCATGTCTAGGTCTCTCTAAAAATAATTCCAAATACATAGGTCTAACAATAAGAACAAAAGGTAAAAATGTTACCTTAAAGAGTTGTTGAACTTGTGAATGAGATGGAATTCAATAGTGTTAAGCTTGAATCCATAATTTGTACAAATTCCATATAACCACCCATACATAACCTAGTGATAAGGGCGGAGTTGTGCATGACTTCAACCTACAATCTCAGGTTCGATTCATTTATACGAGGCTGTGACGGTGAATTGCTAAATATGATCCTCATGAAGAATAGTCAAGGCGTGCGTTGCTACAGTGGATTTTATTGAATTTACTTCATAATCTACTTTGTGGATTATACCTAATGGGATTACTGCAGTGTTCTTTCTTTTCAATATTATTATTATTATATAAAGGCCGTTAAAACACTCATGAATACACTGTAGTTGATAAGGTCAATTGGGCCATTACTATAAATGATATTTAACTTGGCTATGCTAAATGTAATGGGGTTCTTGTTCAGGTGGCCTGTCATAAGCCCAAATCTATCAATAAATATGTGACGCAATGATGACTTGTGGGTATCGTGCAATTACAGGAAAATATATTTAAATAATTACAACTTCATAGTTACCAAAATGTGATAAATATCTATAGGATTCCTTAAGATTACAATCCTTTAAACATGACATTATATTCTCTTAAGTCTAAATCTCTATAATTAAGCATAGAAACAAATTAGGAACTTGAATAAAATGGGAGATTTAATTAATTTTTCAACGCCACGGCCACCACCTGCCTTGTCAACCCACAATCAAATTTTACTTTTTAATTACCAATCGCCTCACCACACCGACCATTAATAAATTATCAAATGAAACGTCACATGTTCATATTAATTATAACATGCATGCAATTCTTAATTGCCAGCCAGCCACTCTCATTTTGTCTCTTTCTTTCTAATTGCATGAGGGAGGCCATGCCATGCAGGCATCTAATTATCTGCAGAAGACAGCCTCTATCTTTTCGATCAATTCAGCCGCTAAACCTTGTCGACATTTGCCCCTCCAGCAAATGACAACTTAGTGTAAAAATTCAATGTCTCTAAGAAGGGAATTCCCATAATCTCGTAGCTCGGTTTCATGTCTAACCCTAAAGTTTAACATATATAGAAACGTCTTGTTCACCTAGCTTTATCACAAATTCATCATGTCTTGGACTGCTTACGTTAATTAATTCATTTCAATCCATCTTTATCTTTCGTTTAGAAAATTAATTATAAGAAAGAGATGGCAAGGTATCACGTTAATTTCCAATTAAAGTCTCGTTCACATAGCTTTAACTACAGTCACATTTCTTTAGCTGCATGCCTGCATTCACATTTCATACGTGTGTGTTCAGTTCACAGATTAATTACAAATGATTATAGATTAATCCAACGAGGGCCACAGCTTATAGAAGCTTACAAAAACCTTAATTAGTTCTTAATCATTAAGCCACGAAACGATGGATGAATAAATTCTTGATTATAATCTTATTCATTAATGAAGGTCCTACAGTTTTGACGAATATATATATATATAGATTAATCCAACGAGGGCCACAGCTTATAGAAGCTTACAAAAACCTTAATTAGTTCTTAATCATTAAGCCACGAAACGATGGATGAAGAAATTCTTGATTTATAATCTTATTCATTAATGAAGGTCCTATTGTTTTGACGTGTATATATATATATATATATATATTATATATATATATATATATATATATATAATATATATTAATATATATATAGATATATTGTTGATGTTAAATTTTGACACTAACTATTCACACATGCAAAGTGTTAAGCGGATTTAGAAATTATATGTGAATTGGGAATGGAAATAAATAAATAAAGGAAGACGATTTTTAAAGTGGTTCGAATGCTCAAAGCGAATCCTATGTCCACTGTCTTTTTATAGAAGAAATGTTACAATCAAGTCACAAGTAGCGATTAGAAAAGAAATACAGAGAGGGAGAGAGAGTGTTTATATTATCAGAAGCCAAATCTGGATGAAGAGAGGGGAGCTCTCTATTTATAGTAAGAGGTTCATAGGCAATGATTGCGAGTCTATCAATGGGCAAGTACCGTACCGTTCCTATCTTGCTTCCTATTGGCTGGCTGTGCAGTGCGTATCCTTAAAACGTGCAGGGATCAGGCAAGTGGATGACTCCCAGCCATTCACTAGCCATACTCTTACTTGCCAAGTTGATGACAACCTTATTCCATATGTCCTTGGACGACGCAGCGCCTGGATGGCACAATGCATTCCTGAACTCTGATTAATCATTGATAACGTGAGTCTACGTTAGCCCTGATTTTTTAGGCATAACAGAAGCCCCCTAGTTCTTAAGGTTCAAGGCTTGAACTTTGAGAACTTCATGATTATGCCATGATTTGACTCGTTTTGAGGATCGCCCGCTCAAACTGTTGATGGAGATCGACCGAGGTAACGTGAAGCACAAGACTTAACTTAACCAATGAACTGAATGGAGGTCGCGATGCAAAGCTTTGCGAGTTGCACAAGCGACCTGATGTGATCGTTCCCCTAGGAATCAGATGATCCTCAATAAAATCGTAGAGAGGGATAGAGGCAGGCTTCATATCTGCCTTGTCCAATTGTATTTTTTTGAGAGCTCGCTGAAATAGGATGTTCACAACGCTGCCATTGTCCACTAGCATTCTGTGGACTTCGTACCGACCTATTTCAGGCGCGAAGACGAGTGCATCTTCATGGAGATGATGCAATTGCACCGCGTCTTTCTTTGAGAAGGTAATCTCTTCTTCCATACAAACTTTAGCGAGTCGCAATGTCGTGCTCATCACACTCACAGGGTCATGGCGAGCTTCCTAAGTGTACATTTCCTAAGCACCTCGAGAATTCCTCGCGAGGTGTGGTCCTCCAAAGATGATCCCCACACAGTAGAGACCCGTATGACCACAGTGCTTCTTCCCTTGTTCCTACTAATCTTTCTCCTGAACGGGAGTTGGACCATCAACATACTCCTTGAAGTGCCCTTGCTTGATGAGGTCTTCAATTGCTTGCTTGATAAGGTCTTTAATTGCTTGCTTGAGAGCCCAACACTCATCAGTATGGTGCCCATTATCCCAATGATAGCGACAATATTTCTTACTGTTTCTCGCTGAGGAGGGATTGTTCATGGGCGTCGGCTCTCCGACCAGGCTAGCTTCTTCTAACTTATCTAGAATAGCCGATACTGACGCGTTCAAAAGAGCATACTAATTTTCGTCGCGATCGCGACGAGGAACTTGGGCATGGGATTTCTTGGGCTCAAACTGCTGCTTTTTTCCTTTCCGCTGATCGTCATTAGCCTATCTATGATTAGTTTTTCTACTACCCTCCCCCCGGTCAGGAGCCCTGGTTGAAGGACCGAGGTCGTGGTGATTGAGAGCGGCCACAGAATTCTCAATTTGGAGGTACTTCTCCGTAAGATCGTAGAAGCAGGTGAGAGAAATTTCGTCCTCGGATTGTAGCTTTTTCCATAGGTCGGTCCACGGGCGAACTCCCGCAATAATGAGAGTCCAAACAGACTCTTCAAGTGTATTAGCCACCTTGTGCAGCTCCCTATGGAACCTATCAATGTAGGACTGGAGGGATTCATTCTTCTCCTACCGTATGTTGCTCAGATAGCTCAACGGTATTGAGAACTTCCTATTTGCCTAGAAGTGTCTCAAGAATAATGAGCTCATTTGCTGCCACGAGTCAATAGATCATAACAGAAACAATCTAAACTATCGCTTGGCGTAGGCAGTTAGGGTAACTACCAAACAGCGACACTTGGCCAAGTTGGAAACTTAGTGAAGCTCCATGAGATCGTTAAACTCATAGAGGTGATCCTGCGGATCAAAATTTCCATCGAATGCTCACATATCGGGCATTCTAAATCTTGACGGAAGAGGAGCAACCAACATTGCTAGGGAGAAGGGAGATGCCTCAGCGATCTACCCACGTTCATTTTGCTGAGTTCTAAGCTGATCTAAAGCTCACTGTAACTCCTCAATCTGAGGCAGCGCAACTATCTAGAGATTATTTTTCGCAACATGGGTTCGACCTTCACGATTACGGTTGAGGAAAGACCGTAGATCAGACTCTTCCTTACCTCGGTCGAAGGCTCTGGCATATCTTGACACACGCTGATTAGAGTCGTGTGAAGGCAATGAAAGGTTCAAGGAGTTAGCCCAACCTCTGCGGTGGTCAGAACCAACCCCCGTTTGCTAGGGGTTTCCCTGTATTACACTCTTGTGGGGGTGCTCATGCGATGTGGCGTGGCGTGGGACGGTTCATGATGCGACAAATCACCAAGTTGCAAAGCCAGAGGTATTCTACCTATTTCGCTACTAGTATTCATTGGTCCCTTAGAGCCCTTTGGTCCACTATTTGCCACCTGCTTTCCCTTGCCTTTCCGTGTTATAGTGCACGCGGCATGGGCCTTCGCTCGTTTTTACGCTTTAGCGTGACCTATAGACGTTTTTGGCGATCGCCTTGTCGGACTCAGGTGGTACGACCTAGTCCAAATAGTCCAACCTTCAGTTAACCGTTTGGATAATATTGTTGAACCTCTCCAGGTAATCCATTACAGCTAGGTTAGGTTGTGAGCTCGATTGAATGTCCGCCGCGACACTATGCTGAATCGGGGGCACTTCAAGAGAAGTGTCATCCTGTACTAGGGGGATCTCCTGGTTGTTAGGGCTAGCTTGCTCGGCTTCAAAACCGCGGGCCATTTTCTATCGAACAAAATCGATTGATCAGAGATTCCTGATGAAAAGTGGATACTAAATTAGGCTCTCTTACTAGCGCCAAACTATTGATGCTAGATTTTGACACCAACTATTCGCATGTGCAAAGTGCTAAGCGGACTTAAAAATTACACGTGAAATGGGAATGAAAATAAATAAATAAAGGAAGACGATTTTTAAAGTGGTTCGGATGCTCAAAGCGAATCCTATATCCACTGTCTTTTTATAGAAGAAAGGTTACAATCAGGTCAGAAGTAGCGATCAGAAAAGAAATACAGAGAGGGAGAGAGAGTGTTTATATTATCAGAAGCCGAATTTGGATGAAGAGAGGGGAGCTCTCTATTTATAGTAAGAGGTTCCTAGGCAATGATTATGAGTCTGTCAATGGGTAGGTACCGTACAATTCCTACCTTGCTTCCTATTGGCTGGTTGGGTGGTAGGTATCCTTAAATCGCGTAGGGATTAGGCAAGTGGATGACTTCTAGCCATTCACTAACCATACTCTTACCTGCCAAGTTGATGACAACCTTACTCCTTCTGTCCTTAGATGACGTGGCAGCGCCTGGACGACACAATGCCTTCCTGAACTCTGATTATATATATATACACACGAGCGAGAGACCTATAGCAAACAAGTACCGCGAGGGAAAGATGAAAAAGACTTTGAAAAGAGAGAGTCAAAGAGTGCTTGAAATTGTTGGGAGGAAAGCAGATGGGGGTTGGCAATGTGCCCTGTTCAGATGTGGAACGATGTCAAGCCGGTCCGTTGATCGGCTCGGGCCGTGGACCGATGCGGATTAAGATGGCAGCCCAAGCCTGGGCTGATGATACGCTTGCGAAGACGTCGTCGTCGCAATCGTGGATGGCAACGCGTGCCGCAAGGCGTGCTACGACACCTGTATGCTCCTGACGTCGACCTGCGAGCTCCCCATTCTACCCGTCTTGAAACACGGACCAAGGAGTCTGACATGTGTGCGAATCAACAGACCAATAAACCCGTAAGGCTCAAGGAAGCTGATTGGCAGAATATATATATGAGAGTATTTTCTTCAAATTCATTGATGAATATGATCACAAGTTGAAATAGGATTGTAAAGCGTTGAGAAAATTGTGAGGTTGTAATTAATTAGAAAGGGTGACAGGGTCTATGGACAGTAAACTGGCTAAATCTATAATTAATATAAGAGTAAATGACATATTCCCACCCAAGGTTTGACGAAATCCTAAGTTGGTACCCCAAGTTATATTTATTACAGATTCCCACCCTTAAAATAATACTATTAACAATTTTTACGGTATAGAGAGTGCAATTACCATAATGCCCTTAACTCTAAATTAATAAATTACATTTTAACCCCTGAATTAGTAGAATTATAAACTTACCATTTATTTTCAAATTATCTCAATAACACCCTCGGTCACTGCACACCCTTTCGATTTTTGCCCGATTTGGGCTGTTTCTGATGGCGTCAAACCCTAGTCACCTCCATCACCTTCCCCATAGTTTTTCATCCAAAACCCCTCTGGTTCTTGACTCATTGGCCCTTCCAATCGCTGGCGCCGTTAGGCTTAGGGTTTCTCTATTCTTTATCGGATCCTGGTCGATTCTGGCGATGAAAATCCAATTGGAAACCACCACTGCAACCAGTGTCTCCAACTTTATAAAACCAATGTTTTAAAAACCGACCCGGGGCAAAACCCGGCAAGAGGGTCGGGTCCCGGGTCGACCGGTTGAACCAGTTGGTTCAACCGGTGACGTCATCATGCTGACGTCAGCATGATGACGTCACAAAAACACTGTTCACAGAACCTGTATTTCCCAGATTTTACTCCAAATCATAAATTCTAGTATAAAAACTCCTTAACAAAGCATTATCATACATCATTACATCAATAATACAACAAATTTCAAATCAAAATAACAAAATAAATGAAGAAAAATCAAAAATCACATAATAGTTGTTTCAAGTTGTCAACTTCCAAATCAACACTTCAACATTCTAAGTTCTAACCAAAAATGATCTTCAATCCATCATTCTATCCTCAATTAAAATTCACAATTCATAATTCACACACCACCACCTGGTAGAGGATCGTCATCATTATTATCATCGGCAACATCATCTACAAAAAAATTCTAGCAAAAAAGGAAAACCATAAGTTAAATTTTTCCATTTAAACTAATTGAATATAAACTAGATAATACCAAATTGAAATTGCTTAAAAAATTGTAAATAACCTTCTGAAGCATTTGCTGAGTCATAATAAGAAAGGTGATCACCAGATTCACCATCATCTATAGGAATAGCTCCTTCTCCATATAATGATTGTTCTAATTCTTCATAATTAAGCTCACCAACCTCCTCTTCCTCATCAACTATCCACCATTCAGTTTTATCAATACTCTCATAATCAATAGGATCATATGTAATTTTCTTGTAACAACTCCTGAAATAGAAGAATTAAATATTCAAATCATGACCAAGAAAGACATCAATAAAAAAAAAAAAAATGAAGAAGGCTTTATACCTATTTTACAAACGCAAGTTATAATGAGTGAAAACCAAATCATTCAACCGTGGATGCTCCAATCTGTTTCCCTTTTTAGTATGTATGCGTTCAAAAACACTCCAATTTCGCTCACATCCGGAAGAGGCCGAAGTTTGACTTAGAATTTTGATTGCAAACTTTTGCAAATTTGGAGCACTAAAGCCAAATGTCCTCCACCATTCATCTAATTGAGAATAAAATTATAAATTATATAAGAAATAAACACAATTTCATAACTTAAAAAGTTAATAAAACCATACATGACCTCAGGTTTTTTGGAAAAAGTATCTTCGTCATATTTGAAAGCAGGATTCAAATAATATGCTGCTGCATGAATATCACGGCGCAACATCCTATCCCAACGCATCTTAATAATTGTTGTATAAGGCTTGTACAAACTTTTCTTGTTCTTAAACAGCTTCTTGATCCCCATCCTCGTTCTATACATGCCATCATACACATATCCTATTGAAGGCCTCTCATCTGAGTCTACAATCCGGAGCATACGCATCAATGGACTCACAACTTTGGAAATTATACCAATGTCATCCCAGAACCGGTTATCTAGAACTATGGAAATAAAGGCTTTGCCTTTATTAGTTTTTGCATATCGAGACTCCACAAAAGTTCTATCTGTCACTGTAGATTGCAAGTCATGTTTATGCTGATGTAGACTACTTAATGCAATGAAAGTAGTGGCAAAACGGGTTGCACCTGGGCGTATAATTTCTGTCCAACCCTATTCAAGTGATAGACAATAAATGTTAGTACTTAGTAAATTATTAAAAAGTGTACATATATACTATGTCTTGACAATGTAAATTATAAACATATGAAGTAAAAGTATATAACCTGTTTTTTCCTCAGCAAAGCTAGCACAAATGAATGATTATACACAAACTTTGTAACCTCGGATGCACGTGTCGAAAGGTTGACTATATGACTCATCTCAGCTATGTCTTTCAACGTCAAATTAATGCAATGTGCTGCACAAGGAGACCAAGTAATACTGCTATATTTGTCAGTCAACAACTTTCCAGCCGCTTTATAATTTGCTCCATTGTCAGTGACAAGATGGACAATATTGTTTGGTCCAACCCATAAAGCTATTTCCTCAAACAAGCTACACAATGTTGTAGCATCCTTTACAACATCTGAAGCATCCACTGATTTCACAAAACACACTCCTTTAGGACAGTATACTAGGAAATTAATCAACGACCTATGTGAATTATCCGTCCAACCATCAGCCATTAAAGTACATCCAACATCCTCCCAAGTTTTCTTGTAACTATCAACAAGTAATTGCACTTCTTTCCTTGCATCTCTCAATAAATTTACACGCAAATCATGATAAGTTGGGATTTTATACCCAGGACCAATTGCAGCTATAGCATCCGCCATAGGTTGAAAATAAATTGAATTAATAACATTAGTTGGAATGCAAGAATCATAAAATAACCTTGCAACAGCCATGTCCGCTCTCCACTTAGCTTCTTTTCCGGCTAAAACACTCCTAATTGAGGGCTGAGACCCAGCCTTAGTCCTCGGAGCAAAATAGTCACCTATCCCAATAGATTTTTTTCTCTTAGAGCTTGAAATTGAAGTTGGAGTTGGAGTTGGAGCTGGACATGGAGAAACCTCTTCACACTCTTGATCTTCATCTAACATACCACCCTCTTCTTGTTGTACACTAGCTCCATAAGGATTGACATTCTTACGAAATTCAACTTTTTGTTTATTCTTGGCCCCAATTTCATTTAGTGCTTCTTCAATCTTGAATTTAACATCGAAAGGAACTTTAGGGCACTTTCCAACTTCTCCCTTTATACCCGCTAGATGCAATTTCACTCGATAAATTCCTCCACCTCTAATTATCTTGCCACAATAAAGACATGTTAATATCTTCTTCCCATTTTCATCCACGCCCTCATTAACATGTGCCCATGCTATATCATTTCTTCCTCGAAAAGTTTGTGAAACATCCATGGAAGCAGATTGTTGACAAGACCCAGATGATGACATCTCAACCGACAGGCTGTAACATCAAAATATATATGTAAGCTAATGTAGTGAACTGATTGAATTGAAACAAACAAACTTACAAGTTACAAGTTACAACAATTCAAAGAGCAACTAATCAATCATTTTTCACCACAAACACTTTGCAATCACTCATACAATCAATAGAAGAAATTGACTATCAATAGAAGAAACTGATGTTGCAAAGTGATGTATCATTTTACTTTACATTATCATATCAATACTATATAAAATGACATATCACTTTAGGATATAAATGTCGGGATTTTAGAAATTCTATTGAAAAGTGTAATTATTTTTTAGCTGGCAATTTAACTTTCTGTTTCTGATGCTATACTATAAGAAAATGAGACTGCACAAATTTAAAGTATAAGATTTGGGGTTCAAATTATTAACATGTGTTCAACTTCACTTTACATCAGCATCACAAATGAAGTCAATCAACGGCCTAAAACTAAATGCTACAATCACAATATAAACAGATAACATCAAATTACCACGAAAAGAGCTAAAAGAAAATTACAGATCACATAACAAGTCAATCAATGCTGAGACAATGGGGACTCTTGCTGATTACAGACGGCAATATAAACTACAAAAGTGCAAAGTTATAAACTATAAACTATAAACTATAAAGTATAAACATTGTAGTAAAAAACTAAAAATGAAAATACAAATCAATACCTGGTGTTGGTGAAGACTGAAGACGAGCTGCTGTTGACCGTTGGAGAGGTGGAGCTCGACGGTGACGGATGAACAGTTGAACACTGTGAAGTACTGAACAGAGCAGAACTGCAGATTGCAGAAGAGAAGAAGAGAACGCGACTGCCCACAGTTCGTCCCTTCCTGAGCAAGAAGAAGATGACAACGATGGTGTAGCTTCCTGATCGACGGTGACGGAAGAACATAGCAGATCGGCGGTGAAGAGGGGACTGAGAACAGATCGCGCGGTACCCCAGCAGCCCAGCTGACGACGAGCTATACAGTTGACGGTGAAGGCTAATGCGACGAGATTCGAAGGTGAACTGGTGAAGGGGAGACTCGTGGATGATGAAAATGCAAAATGCAAAATGGTTTTCACTTTTCAGAGTTTTCACTTTTCAGACGAAAGAGAAGGAAGAAGTAGCGTGAAAATGTCAAAATGGGGGAAAATGTTATACTGTTTAAGTCAAAATGGGGGGAAATGTTATACTGTTTAAGTCAAGTGTTTACTGTTTTAGTATTTATTAAATTTAATGCTTTTATTTTTTAAATTTTGAATTAATGTGCATGACCCGGTTTTTATGAAAGTCACCGGTTGGACCAGTGGGTGCTACAGTACCCCGGTCCAACCGCGGGTCAAACTGGGCAGAGTAATTCTGTCGGTTATAAGGCTCACCCGGCCCGGCTGACTGGCCAGGTCCCGGTTTAACCGGTTGAACTGGCCGGGCCGGGCCGGTTTTTAAAACATTGATGGGAGGTTAAAGTTCATTAGAGTTTTCTTTAATGGTGATGGGTCGACTTAAAATGATGAGTTTTACTTATCCACCAAATCAAAGGTTGATAAGCTCGTCATAGGCATAGTGGAGAAGTACACTCGTTGTGTGTACGAGGCAGCATGTAGTGTCCACTCTAGTGATACTGAGAATCACACTTAAGGACAATGGCTTCGGTCATCGTATTGTGTGATTGACTTGTTGGCTTACTTCACATTTGAGGTTGATAGTGGGAGCTATCAACTGATGTGGATTAAGTTTGTTGGCTTACCTAATCAACCCATTTTAGCTTGTTCACCAAAGCGAAGGTTTGAAACGGGTTAGATGGGATCTCAGTCCACTAGGAAAGCCAACGGCCTTTCCCGAGTTAATAGTGAGAGCTATTGGCTTAAGGAAAATAGTGGGAGAAATTATTTAATAAAAGGTCTTATTAAATAATAATAATAAACATTATTTTGCTTAATTTTGTATTTGTAGATTCACTTAAATTGAGCAATATGATCCCATCATCACTACGACAAATTATCGAACTGGGAAACAAATGGAATGGTGAGAATTTCATTGACTAGTTTAGAAGTATAAACAATATACTTCAGTCAACCGATAGATTATACACTATTGAGCAGGCTTTGTCAACAGAGCTTGGTGGTAGTTCTATTAATCGGGTTGGGTATGTATATATGAAGCATACACATGATGCAAAAACAGAAATGACAAGATACATTGTGCTTGCATCAATGACACCATTATTGTAACAACAGTGCCAGAATATGGACTTAGCTTCTATTCTTTTTTTTCTCCAGAGAAATGAGAAACATATGGTGTCTCGATCACTATTTAGATGTAAGATGGAAAAAGGTACCAAAATTGGCGATCATATACTCAAGTTGACTGAGTATATGAATAAGCTTGAGATTTTGGGATGTAGACTTAATGAGAGTTTAGCAATAGACCTAACATTACAGCCTTTGCCAGATTCTTACTCTCAATTTGTCTATGACTTCATTGAGAATGATAAGAAGAATACCCTTTCCAAGCTTCTAGATATGTTGAAGACTATTGAGTCAGACATGAAAATGTCAAAAACATTGATGTTGGTTGAAACCAACTCAAGTGAGAAGGAAAAGGCTCAAAAGTCATTGGAAGAAACTGTTGTAGATAGGAAGGATGTTTGTCCTCACTATGGAAATCCCAGCCACTAGAGAAAACATTGCAAAGCCTTCCTAACAAAAAGGAAGAAGAATGTTACTTCTTCATCAGGTATATTCTTGATTGAAATTAACTTCTTCTGTCAATATCTTGGGTCATTGACACAGGAATGTGATACTCACATTTGCTCTAATGTGCAAGGACTACGACAGAGTAGATTGCTCGCTGAGGGAGAGGTGGACCTACCAGTTGGAAATGGAGCACATGATGTTGCATTAGCTGTAGGATCTTATTGTCTGATTTTGCCTAAGAGCTTGTTACTTGGAACTTGTGGATTGTTATTCGTTTAATTTCTAGAAACAATTTTTCTGTGTCCATTTTGGACAAGTAAGAATATTTCTTTACTAATGGATTGTTATCTTTTAGTATAAATAATATTGTTTATGGAACTGTTTCATAATAATATGCTCTTAAAATAGACAATAAGGATATTCTCAAAGTCACAACTACATCGGGTATGGCAAGTTGAGTTAAACATACTTGAAGGAATGTGGGATAGTGTCAAAACTCACCTCTCCGCATACACCCCAACACAATAGAGTGTCTAAGAGGAGGAACATGACTTTACTTGACATGGTTAGGTCAATGATAAGTTTTAGTGATCTGCCTGCATCATTCTGGGGTTATGCCCTAGAGACTGCGACTCACGTATTGAATCGTGTGCCATCAAAGTCTATAGATAAGACTCCATATGAACAATGGAGTGAGAAAAAGCCCAACTTGTCTTATCTAAGGATTTGGGGTTGTGAAGCTTAAGTCAAGAAAGACTTCAAATAAGTTGGGCTTGAAATCTGACAAATGCATTTTTGTGGGGTATCCTAGGGAAACCAAATGGTACTATTTCTATCATCCAAAAGAGCACAAAATTTGTATTTACCATCCAAAAGAGCACAAAATTTGTATCTACCATCCAAAAGAGCACAAAATTTGTATCGCTCGTACTTGTGTCTCCTTGGAAAAGGAATTTTTCCTAAAAAGTACTAGTGGGAGAAAAATAAAACTCGATGAAGTTCTAAAACCACAAGATACATTAGACAAAAGACAGGAAGATATGCCACAGGAGGTGGTTGAACATCATGAGGACGTCACTTCATAATCCATGGATCAAAGTGAACCACCTCAAGTAGCATAGGAGCTACATAGGTCTAGAAGAGTACGTCATGAGCCTAAGAGATATAGTTTTCTCGTTACTCAACAAGGCGACGTACTAGTCTACCAAGACAACAAATTTAGGACCTACGAAGATGCTATATCGAATCCTTATTCCATTAAATGGCTTGAAGCCATGAAATCTGAGATAGACTCCATGTACCAGAACTAGTTATGGTTTTTGGTGAATCTACTTGAAGGGATAAAACCCATATGGTGTAAATGGGTCTTCAAGAAGAAGACTGACATGGATGACAAGGTGCATATCTATAAGGCACGATTAGTTGCCAAAGATTTCAAACAAATTCATGATAATTAACTATGAAGGAACCTTTTCACTGGTTGCCATGATTAAGTCTATCCATATTACGTTTACGATTGCTACATATCACAATTTTGAAATTTGGCAAATGGATGTCAAAATGGCTTTCCTAAACGGAAACATTGAAGAGGATGTGTATATGATACAACCCAATGGTTTTTTTCTTGATGGACAAGCTGATAAGATATGCCAGTTGCAAAGGTCCATTTATGGACCTAGGCAAGCTTCAAGGAGCTGGAACATTCGTTTTGATTAAGCCAAAAAAGAATTTGGTTTTACTAAGAACAAAGATGAGCCCTGTGTTTACAAGAAAGTGAGTGGAAGTGCAGTGGCATTCTCGGTGTTGTATGTCGATGACATACTTTTGATCGAGAATGACATACTGAACTTGCAGTCAGTAAAGACTTGGTTATGCAAGTACTTCTCCATGAAGGACTTTGGAGAAACAGTCTACTTCCTTGAAATAAAGATCTATCGAGATAGATCGCGTAGGTTGCTTGGCCTAAGTTAAAGTACATACATACACAAGGTACTGAAGAGATTCAGTATGGAAGAATTTAAGAAGGGATCTCTTTTGATGTCACATGGTATCTATCTCTCCAAGGATACATGTCCTAAAACACATAATGAGAGAGATAGAATGAAGGGGATCCCAAATGCATCAACAATTGGATCCATCATGTATGCCATGTTGTATGCTCGAATTAATGTCTCATGTGCATTAAGCACTTGCAAAAGATATCAATCAGATCCAAATGAGCTATGTCATGTTGTATGCTTGGATTGATGTCTTATGTGCATTAAGCACTTGTAGTAGATATCAATCAGATCCAAGTGAGCAATGTAATATTGTGTACTTAGATTGATGTCTTATGTGCATTAAGCACTTGTAGAAGATATCAATCAGATCTTGGTGAGCGACACTAGATGGGTGTTAAGGACGTCCCTAAGTACTTGAAAAATGACTAAGGATATGTTCTTGATCTATGGAGGGGAAGATGAGCTCACTATAATAGGATACAGTGATACTAGTTTCCAAACGGATAAAGATGATTTTTGCTTGCAGTTCGGGTTTATATTTTGTCTCAATAGAGCTGTAGTGAGCTAGAAAAGCTCAAAGCAAAGTACTGCAGTGGATTCTACAGTTGATGCTAAGTATATCGCATTATCTAAAGCAACCATGTAGGTGGTTTGGATTAAGATGTTCATTACTGAACTTGATGTGGTTCCAAGCATTACTGATCTAGTAAAGTTCTACTGCGACAATAATTAAGCCATTGCTATGGCTAAGGAACCACGGTCTCACCAGTGATCCAAACATTTACTTGGTTGATTCAATCTGATCTAAGAAATTGATCAGAAAAAGGGATGTGTAGATTTGTAGAATACCTACTAACCCACAGTTAAAGTTTCTATTGCAGCAGAAGCTTGATGGGCACTTAGGGTCATTCAGTGTTGAGTACATGAATGATTAGCTATAGTGCAAGTGAGAGATTTTTAAAGTAGGTGCCCTAGAGCTAATCAATTATTGTAGAATTGACTCTCTGTAATAATGTTTATTAATCAATGAAAGACAATTTTCTTCTATATCATGTAAATCATAATTATGTGTATTGATATATGTCCTTAGGATGGTAGAACCGTGACGAAGGTATCAAGTGTTTCAAATCTTGATAGTGAGAACCCTATTATCACATATGGTGGCCATTCTAGAAATATCTGTAGCCCTAGTATTATTTTAATCAAGGACACC